TGTTGTTGTTGTTGTTGTTGTTGTTGTTGTTGTTGTTGTTGTTGTTGTTGTTGTTGTTGTTGTTGTTGTTGTTGTTGTTGTTGTTGTTGTTGTTGGCTCTGGTTGGCTCTGCTGCTGCTGCTGCTGCTACCGGCCGGTTCGTTCGCTGCCGCGTCGTCGTCGTCCGAGTGGTCGGTTGATGCGGCGTCGGCGTCGGCGTCGGCGTCATCTTCTTCCGCACTCGTCGATTCCGCTTCGAGGTCCAAGTCCAGGCCGTTCGCCTGGCTCCGCGTGCCGGCCAGCAGAGAGGGCAGATCGTCCAGCGCGCCGGGCGGGTCGAGGAGCGCGTCCCAGTAAGAGGTGTCCGGCTCGCTATCGGGAGAGCGGACGTGTCCAGACCAGATGGCAGCCGAGGTGCCGGGAGTGACGGCAGAAGGGCTGGAGAGGGAGGGTGCAAAGAGGCGAGTCAGGACGTCGTCCCTCGTGGACGTGTCGCCCCTGTCCTCGGTGACGACGGGGACTTTATCGTCCTCCAGGTCGACGTCGCCGCTGGGATGGAAGACTTTGCCGTGGGTTCGAGGCGGACCGTCAGCACGCGGGACGCGGCCCTCTCGGCCGAAGAGGCTGCTGAGGGGCTGACGGGAACTGATGAGCTGCTGCGACTCGGTGCTGGCCATGAGCTGGTCGTCTAGGCCGTCGAGAATGTCGCGATGCATGTGTTTGTACAAGACGTAGTAGGCGCGAAAGATGCGAAGGAAGTCGCGGCGATTCACGTACCCGTCGCCGTCCATGTCGTAGCCTTGGAAGATGCGTCGGAGCTTGTCTTTCCGTTTTCGGTAGGCCAGGCCGTGGAGAAACTCGGAGAAGCCGATCAGGTCATCGTGGTTGGTGTCGTAAAAGGCGAACATGCGGTCGTGGATGAGGTTCGGGGTGGCATGGCGGGAACGGCCCAGCGGTACAAGGCAGCGTTCAAAGGTCTTCTTGTCCATGGCCAGCTGCAAGCCGTCGGGGTCGTCCCTCCACTCGGTGTTTGCCATGTAGGAGAACTGTTCCCAGAAGGCCTCGATCTCGGGCCGCTCAAAGCCGGACTCCTTGGAGAGATTGACAATGAGGACGCGAGGCAGGACCCTGACGCAGGTGTCCGGGTCGCCCGAGTACCAGACGGGCTGCGTCTGACGGGGCCCGAAGGGAGGCGCGGGGACCTTGATCTTATAGAAAATGTGCGACTTGTTATGGACGCCCTGGGCCTCGCAGTTCTCGCAGAGGTCAAAGTCGGCACAGTTGGCGCAGCGGTAGCGGATTCCGCGTATGGGGATCATGTTGCACGAGTTGCAGCCGCAACCTCGGTGGACACAAGCGTTGCGGCGGGCATTATCCTCCGACACGCGAAAGAGAAGGCTGACGAGGTTGTAGCCGGCGCGCGCTGGCGGCGGCATGGATTCGGCCTCCTCCCACCACTCCTCCACGGCGGGGTTATTGTCTTGGGGTGGCTGGTCGTCTCGCGCATCCTCGTCGGGGGGCTGGGGCTGGGGAGTGTCGGAAGCGAGGGAGGCTCCTCGCGCACGGCGGGCGTGGCGTCGTATGGCATTGCTACGATGAAGACCCGGACCGGGGACGTGAGTCGACTGGTATATGTAGTATCCGAGAGACGCAGCTGCGGCGGCTGAGATGATGGCGACGGCGATTCGAGGGCGTGTCAAGCTGTAGCTGTCGGTGGATGGCAGGGAGAGCCACATGTTGTTTGGGAGAGACCGTTGCCCGTTGCCCTACTTGGGGAACATTATGCGTAGAACGAGGATTAGGGAGACTGATGGGGGAATAAACGAATCAAGCAAGAAGAGGTTGAGCGGAGGAGTGAATATGTTCAATGACGAGTTGGCGAACAGTCCGTCGAAAGCGATAATTTACATCGAATTGTGCTTCTGTGGCACTACACTGGGTGGGAAAATGTTGTGATGATCGATGAAGCACGAGAGAAGAGAAGGAGAGAGATGGTAGGGCAGGGCAGGGGAGACGGGGAGATAGAGGGCCCCAAGCTGATTAAGGTACTCAAGTACGCGCTGCAATAGGAAAGCGGTGTAGGTGATGAATCATCCACCACGTACTATTTCCAGGTGGTAACGCTTGTTAGAGCGTGAGCGGTGGCTAATAAGTACGTACTGTACGTACTGTACGTTGTACGTACCCCAGCCTGATCTCGGCCGAGGCATTGCCCGTTATACCTTAGATAAGCGGGAAACCGTGTACCTTAGCCTAGCATTGATAAGCTACATCATGACGTCCATCTTCATCACTTTGTACTTCGATACCTTATGCTTGTAATCGTAATCTCACTCCTCACAGACCGGACTGTGAACTTCAACCTACTCCCATACTCATACTCATACTCGAGAGTCAGCCGGCGTCCCAACGTCCGCCATCACAACGACCACAACGATCGTATAAGTAATCGATCGCTAGTGCTACGCGTCTGCCGGAGGAAACTCAAACTTCCGCCGACTTGCACCCTTGTGGCCCGTCACCTACGCCACCTACGCCACCTACGGAGGACGAAATTAGAATCCCATCATCGCCCTCCCGTCGAATCACAGACATCAACAAGTCAAATTCATCCGGCAGCTTTTCAACCCACGGTTTATCTTCAAAATGGTCGCAGGGTATATGCCCCATGTCCCATACCTCACCTCACGGTGGATCCAATCCGACTTGCGGCTGACTGTCGACATGCTTGAATTAGCAATCGCTTCCCCACGGTCGAGGAGACCTTAAGCCACCCCGCCTACCCTGGTGTGACTTGGAATCTCGAGCCTCACCAAAAGGGGCTTCTTCCCTGTGCCAATGATCGAGGAGGGCCCGTCAACATCTACTGGGAGATCCACGGCAATGGACCAAGAAAGCTAATTGTGCGTTTCCAAGTTCCTTTCCCCTTTCCCCTTTCTATTGTCTTTCTTCTTTCCTGACCACCAACCAGCTCATCATGGGCCTCGCCGGCCTCTCCTCCTCCTGGCAACGCCAAACAAAACACTTCGGCCACGACCGCGGCGACACCTACTCCGTCCTCTTAATCGACAACCGCGGCGTCGGCCAGTCTTCCGCCCCCATCCAGCGCTACTCCACCTCCCACATGGCCCGCGACGCCCTCGAAGTCATCGACCACGTCGGCTGGTCCGCGCCCCGCTCCCTGCACCTCGTCGGCATCTCCCTCGGCGGCATGATCTCCCAGGAGCTCGCCTGCCTGATCCCCGACCGCCTCGCCTCCCTCACCCTCCTCTGCACCACCGCGGGCATGGACACCTCCAGCTCGCCCCTCGCCACCCTGCGCGACCGCATCGGCATGTTCATCCCCAAATCCGTCGGCCGCGCCGTCGAGGACACCGCCCTCAAGCTCTTCACCGACGAATGGCTCCATGCCCCGGACGAGGCCGCCGAGTTGCCCGTTCCCGGCGTCACCCCGCGCTGCGGACCACCAGTCGTTCCCGAGGGCGATGCAGGTGCAGGTGCAGGTGCAGCAGGACCAGGACAAGGACAAGGACAAGCACAAGGACAAGGAGGGGGAGAATACCTCCGCTTCGACTCCAACTTTCAGCGCTTCCAGGCCCAGGAGCTCAACAAGCGCCTCGACGCGAGGAGGTACACCCGCACCGGGTTCCTCATGCAGCTCGCCGCCGCCGCCTGGCATCACAAGTCCCCCGAGCAGCTGAAGGAACTGGGGGACAAGGTCGGGAGGCACCGCATCGCCGTCGTGCACGGGGACGCCGACGTCATGATCGACGTACAGCATGGCCGGAAACTCATCGAGTCGCTGCAGCCGGGCGTCGGGCTCGTCGTCGAGGGCATGGGCCACGCGCCGGTCATGCAGAACGTTGCGTGGCTTCACGAGTTCCTGGAGGAGAGGGTCACGGCGTGTGAGGAGGCGCCGAAGAATCCTGTGACCTAAGCGTGGAGAGACTGGCGAGACTGGCGGTTAGAACGGAGGGTATGCGCCATTAGAGCTTTCTGTAAAAACTCTTTTTTTGTTTTCTAGTGTCAAACTCGACTTGATAAGGGGTATGTATTTACGGGACCGCTTCGCCTTGTTTGTTGTTCTTCTCCCAACTTCGACCCTCCTTATCCCAGCTTTTAGAGCATAACCAGGCCTACACCGCTCAGCGCATCCTCGTCCAGCCGGTTCCTCTTGTCGACGCCACCCGCGATCGGGTTGGCGCGGTAGTTGAAAAGGTAAAAGTGCAGCTGGCCGTCGCCGGGGCCAAACTTTTGCTGCTCCAGGAAGAGGCCGTTGTCCATCAGCGACAGCGCATTGAAGACGTCAAACTTGTATTGCTTGGCCAGGATCAGCGCATCCCCCATAAGGGCGTTCAGCCGGGCTTTCAGCGCCGCCTTGTCCAAGGGCTCGTCGAAGGCGACCGTGCTGGCGTAGTAGAACAGGTAGGCGGCGCGGACCACTTGGTGCTTGGGGTTGCCGATGACGGAGTTTTCGAGGCAGTAGAAGGAGAACATGTCTGTGATTTCCTTTTTGTCGTTCTATAGTGCTTGTCAGCACGTGTCCTGGGGTGGGGAAGGAGAGGAAGAAGGAGGAGGAGGAAAGGAAAGGAAAAAAAGAAACAAAAAGAAAAAAAAAAGAAGAAAAAAACCCTCACCTCAACGACATATGTCCAGACGACCTGTTCCGGCATAACGTCTTTGCTGGGAATAAACCAGTGGATAAACTCGTCCCTGTTGTAGATGGGATACATGTCGAACCGAGCCATGTACTTCTGGAACAGCTCCATCGCGGCGTCGACATCCTTCAGCTGCATCTCCCGCAGGCCCCGGGTCGCCGTTTGGTCGGGGAGGTGGTACTTGCGGACCTGGTACAGCGGCTTGCTGTTGGCCGGCAAGGGGCTGAAGCCGACGTCGTAGAGCTTCTGCCAGTTGATGGCGCGGTGGTAGTAGCGGCAGGTGCTGATCGGGGTGGGCAGCACCACGCCGGCCGTGTACAGGCCCTGCCAGATCTCGTGCAGGTTGCTGCGGCGGGTGATCTCCTTGATCAGCACGGGGGCGAGCCGCTTGCCGCGGAGCTTCTTGTGCACGCAGATGAAGTTGACCTCGGAGCACCGGATGGTGTTCTCCCGGACGCGCAGGTCGACGGGGATGGCGGAGATGAAGGCCACGAGCTTGCGGGACTGGGAGGCGCGGACGCCTACGTGCCATTCCTTTTTCCAACCGGGAGCCATGAGTGCCCTGATAGGGGGGTTAATGTAGTTCACAGTGTATATCATGTGGCGGGGATGAGAAAGAAGGGTTGATAAAAAGAGAGAAAAAAAGAAAAAAAAAAGAAAAGACCAACATACCACTTCAGGATAGAGGTCGAGTAGTTGAAGCGGAACATGGCCTCATCGTCCTCGACGTAGTGACCATTCAAAAGCTCATAGAGTTCCTTCATCTGCCCCTCGTCCTCGAGATCCATCGTCACCCACTCAAAACCGGCAATCATCGCAGGCGGCTGCGTCGGGACATCCTCCAGCTTCTGCACCCGCAGCGGGCCCTCCTCGACGGGGCCCTCGATCTCCCCGAACTTGGGCACAGGCTGCGTGCCCCAAAACTTGTAGCTCGCCATATCCTTGACGTTCTTCCCGCTCGACGCCAGGCCCGTCATGATGTCTTGCAGATTGAGCTTCTTGAGGAGCTTGGCCGTGTCCTCGGGCGAGTTGGACGACCCGGTGGCGGCGCCCAGCTCCTCGGCGAGGGCCGGGTTCAGGGTCAGGAGCTCCTGGATCTGCTGGGACGTCAGGCCGCCAATGGCCTTCTTGAGGTCCTGCTCCGGGTCCCCGGAGGGCTTGGGACCGCCGGTGAGGGCTTCCTTGATCTTCTTGCGCTTGGACTTCTTCTTCTTCTTGCCGGCCTCCTCTGCTCCGGCGGCGGAGGAGGGGGAGGCGTCGTGGGCATCGTCGTCGTCGTCGTCGCCTTCTTCGTCGGATTCGACCTCGGGCTGCTTTCCCTTGGCTTGTTCGACGGCGTTCTCGAAAGCTTCCTCCGCCTGGTCGATGGCGGGGTCGACGGGTTTGGACTCTTGAGCGGGCATCGCGAGGTGCGGGTTCGTTGTCGCGTGTGGTCGATGGCAGAAGAAAAAAAGGGGGACAAACTAAGGATTGTGAGGAGATCTGCGCGATAGACGCCCGAAACCGGATGTCCAATTCTGTTGCCTGGTCCTGTCGAGATGGTAGATCGAAGCAACTATTCGTGCCGTAATGTGTGGTGAATGGCGGGGCTCTTGGACGGTCCTGTGCGGGAAAGAACCACTCCGCTGAAATGACGTCTCGTGTCAGCTGCAAGCCACTGGCAGCCATTTGCTTTGGTGGCGGCGCAAAAGAAGCCACACGCCGTGACCCACATTAACGTAGATAGAATGGAATAAAGCAATATGATTGGTCGTAAGGAAGCTCAGACTATATATACGTTCACCGATAATTTACATGCCTGCGCCACATCCCCCCCGGATGGTCTGAGCTTACTGAGATAACTCGTCACCCTCGCTCGATGTTGAACTAGCGTATATAACATCAAAAAGTACCTACGTCAAGTAGAAGATTCTCTTTTGGTGTAGTGGTACATTTTTGAGTGTTACCCTCGACGTGGTGTTTACCTCATTAATGCTATGTCCTTTGATAGTATCAATCATATCATTGCGAAGTATTGAGGATCTAAAGGAGTAGAATGCAGTGCGCTTAGGATACAAATCGGGACCTCCTTTTGCTTGTAAGGCGCCGCAACTTCATCACGATTCTCCACTGCTGTATCCTCCACTGCTCCAGGTCTATTTCGACGTCTTCTCGGTATACACTGTTCCCCCGAGATCAAAACATCTCATGACAGCGAGTGCCACGGGGGCATGACCCATTATTGCGTTATGTCCTGTAGCGGATAGTCAGCAGTCGTAATTCCCGAATTCGATTTTCAATGGCCAACAGCCAACATACCACCGTAGGGAAACAGCTCCTGCCGGATGACAATATTCGGTTCCGCCGTCAGGGTCGTGACAAAAGCGTCATCCCGGTTCCGGATCGTCCTCTCTTCTTTCCACGCAGCAAAAGACTCTTCCTCCAACCCACCGTCAACGGTAGCATTGGCCGCCGCGCGGAAAAGCTTATCGCTCTCCACCCAGGGGATATCCGCATCGTCCTTGGCCGCCACGAGAGACAATCTCAGCCGCGTCTTCGTCAGGCGGACGAGGCGCTCCAGCCGCTGGGCCGAGGGCCACTTTTCCCAGATGACCCCCTCGGCCACGCGCAGGAGGGACGGCCAGGCCCTGAGCGGTCCCAGGACGGGTATGACGCCGCCCATGCGGTAGCCGCCCAGCATCGTGGGCAGGCTGCTGAAGCCGGCGACGAGGACGATGCCGCCGAACTCGACGCCCTCGGCGGCGTAGCGCTCGGCGACCCCGCTGGCGACGGCGGTGCCGAGGCTCTGGCCGAGCAGGACGATGCGGTCTGGCGGTATGCCGGCTACGTTGATGACCCAGTCGATCAGGGTGGCGGCGTCCTGGATGAGGCCCGGTTCGGAGGGGGTGCCGGTCGAGTAGCCGAAGCCGCGGTAGTCGAGGGCGATGACGTGGTAGGGCGAGGCGTCGGTAAGTACGTGGTAACTGTCTGGACGATGGGCTTGGGCGATATCCCCTGCATTCTGAAGATGGGGTGATCAGCAAACTACAGGGCCCTCGCCAATATGTCACCCAAAGACTTCTAAAAAAAAAAAGAAAAAAAAAAAAAAAAGAACAGGATTGTTGGCTTCATACACCGTGGACTAGAGACAGGTGTCAGCAATTGCAGGCATCAGTCTCGTCTCCATGTCATGGTCCCTGCCTACGGGCGGCAGAGGAGGGGCTCCGGGACATACGATAGATGACAATTCGTGCCTTTGGATCACCCTTCAGAACCCGAAACGACTCGGTTGCTGTGATGTCTGGTGCGACGCCTGGCTCCTGCGATGCGAGCGCCTCTTCATTTTGGAGATACAGCGGCAGCGGGGTGATATGCCACGAGTAGATGCTCTCGTTATCGGGCGTCGTCAGGAAGAAGGGAGTCACTTGTCCCTCTAGGGGAGCGGTGCTTGTGGCGTCAGTTTCGAAAGAAACCAGCCTTCTCGACGAAAGGAACAGTACAGGGACTGGGCATACTAGCGAAGCCGAATAACTCCGGCTCATTGATATCTCGCAACCACAGTCCGTTGACACGGTGGAGATAGAGGAGACTAAGCCGAGACGACATGAATAAGTATGGGTTCTCGGCGAGACAGGGAGTTGTAAAAAAAATAAAAATGGGAGCGGAGCGTCATCGCCTTCCTTACTGTCGCTGAAAGAAAGGAATCGAGCCCAGGGCGAGGAGGCTGCAGTAAAACCCAAAGGGGGCGACCACAGCCCAGATGGCCGTCCTCAGGATAGGGGATAGGGCCACAGGCATGGCCACGGTCAAGTTATGTTCGAGTATTTAGTCGGTTCTACTGTGGATGCATTTATTTTGTCCCGTACTTCGTAACAAACGTCGTCGCTCAAAGATGAAAGCGATGACATCGCCTTCTTCATGATGAAGTACGGAGTCTGCACCGAGACGAAATTACTGAGCAAGGTACGTACCTAAGGTTTCTTGGCCGAGGCAGCCGAGAGAGCGCGCTAAACCGGATTTGTCAACCCGAAACATAAGGTCCAGTATCCCAGTCCCTGGCCAACAAAAGTGCCTCCGATGCTCCACTGCTGTTGGGGCCAGGAAGAGGGATGATTACATAATATGAGCCTCAATCTTGACGACATGATACTCCAAAGTACCCTTGTTCGAAGCCAAAGGGTCTGATACATAGAGCTTGACAATGCCTCAGAATTTCCAAGGGGTATATTGAGCTAATTTTCCATTCTACTCATTTCTATTAGTATTATTATACACGTATATAGGTAGCTGAGCCAACGAGCTACACTACATAACGTCCCTGAACCGGTTTGTAGACTTTGACGTTGCGTAGGTAAGGTCAAGCCGAGGCCAAGATGCTCCGTACCCAAGACCTAAGGTACCTTAGGTACCTTCGACATTCCCCGCTGTACGTGTACCAAGGTACTTTGCAGTATCCACCAACCAGAAGAGGACGAGAAGAACTTCCCCACATAAAGTTCTCTCTCTAGGTCAATCATCCAACCAATAAAAAGGTCCTAACCTTTAGCAGCCTCACTCTCATTGGCGATGTCGCGTCGAGACGGCTGGGTTGGACTTTCTCTCCTCGTCTCACGGTACACGCTTGATGGCACCGATGCCAGCTTGGGAATTTGGAATTTCCTTCCCCCAACTCCATTTCTCCCAGTTCCCAGTTCCCATCTCCCGTCTTCATCTCCCATCTTCATCTCCCATCTTCATCTCCCCTCAACTCCATGTCGAGCTTTTCCCACCTTTACCTTCACCACTCCATCGTATTCGAAATCTTTACGCTACCTTTGCACGAGCATTCGAACGCGTATAGACATATCACTCCAGGTCAATCGTGAATGATGACGACGCCATCCTCCACGTCCACCCAAATCTCATCCTAGTCGACGGCCTGTACGACACGATCATGGAGAAGAAGAGGAAACTGCCCGCCCGGGCCTCTGCGCGCGTCGAGCATATCGCCAAAAAACGTACTGTCACGCCTCCAGATCGTCGTTCTGTCACGCCCTTGTCTACCACAGCCACAGCCACAGCGCCGGCCGCGCCCACTGCGACCTCGGATCCTCCACCTAGTCTACCCAAGTCCATCCACCCTGCCAAGCCTCTTCCCACCGTTGAGGAGCCACAACCCGAGGACCTTTCTATCAAGAGCTACCAGAACATACAGGAAAGGTACGAGTCGCGCTTTTTCCTCCTCTTCCTGGCTCCGCTCTTGCCTCGCCTCTTGCCTCCCCTCTTGCCTCCCCTCTTCTCCTCTGCTTGTTAACCCGTCATCCATATAGTGGTGTTTTAGCTGAATCCCTCCAACGATCCCGGCAACGATGGATTGCCGAGGGCATCTTTCAGAAATACTGGGCAAAACCTATTAAGAAGAAGGGCGTCTTCATCGAAGAGCCCGACAACCCCCCCAAGGACTCAATGCATAAACTCGGTCCGGTGACCATTACCGTCGAACCTCACGTCTTCGAGGCTACCATGTGGGCTGTCAAAGACCCCAAACCTGCTGGCGCCACGGCTTCCAGCTCGACGCCCACCACACAGGCCACGTTTCGCCCCATCATGCAGTACGGCCCCCCCAACGGCATCATGCCCCCTCCTCCGCCAACACCCAAGACGGAGCCCTCGACTCCTGCGCCCCCATCTTCGACCGAACCGAGGCCCACACCGGCCCCTCAGAGCCCAGCCCAGCCTCCACCCATGTCCCAATCAGTACCGATGAATCCACAAGCCCCGACCGCGAGCGATCTCCCCGAAACCGCCGGCCCCTCGCCCGACCCTCCCGAGTCGGAGTCGGCAAGACCTCCTTCCTCGGCAGCAGCAGCAGCAGCAGGAGCAGCAGCAGCAGCAGAAGCAGCAGCGCCGCCCGTGGTATCTCCGGCGCCTGCACCCGCCTCGACGTACGCCCCCGTTTCAATTCGTAGCTCCGCAACGACTCCTGGACCTGTTTTAGCGCCTGCGCCTGCACCTCCGCCAGCACCTGCACCAGCACACCCGCCAAACATGACGTCTCCCTCTCCAGTTCCTACGGGGCTTGCAGGCCCACGTCCCACCACCCCTTCGAATGCCATCTCCGCAGCACCCCACCCAGGTTCCGTATCTGGGCCGTCAAACATAACCGCGCCGAATTCTCGGCCCTCGAGTGCGACCCCTACTCCCGGCCTCGGCACCACCAGATCCGGCGGAACTCCAAAGCCGCCCGGCACCGATCCCATCATCATGACTCTGGCCGAGAGGGCCTCCGAGGACCGCCATCTCCGCGATCTCATGAAGAGAGTGGCTGCCGGGGAGGCTAAGCCGGATGAGCTGACCACTTTCCAACGCATCATCGACCAGATTACCGTCGAGTACAAGAAGAAAGGCGGACAGCAAGGCCCGTCGGCTGACCGGCTGCTCGTTGATGGCAGGACCGTCAAGTACTTCGCAGACGAGGTGCGGGCCATCTTGGATATTGTCCTGGCGACAAACCCCGGCCAAAAGTCCGGCGAGCTTTTGCCGCCTCCTCGTAGCGATCCGCTGGTGGTGGCGCTGGTGAAGAACGCCCTCGATGACGCCAGGATCCGATCCATGGTTCGCAGGATTGCCGACAACCAGCCCGGCTTCACCGATGCCACCGACCTCAAGTCCCTGTTGGACAAACTGCACAAGAGTCTGCAATCAGCTCCCCCTCCACCGCAGCAGCAGCCTCCTCCACCGCAGCAGCAGCCTCCTCCACCGCAGCAGCAGCCTCCTCCACACCAGCAGCAGCCTCCTCCACACCAGCAGCAGCCTCCACACCCGCAGCCCGCACCAACAAACGCCGCCGTGAATGGCGTGGCCAGTGGCCAGACCCCGAAACCGAAACCGAAACCGGCTGCTGCCCCGACGCCTTGCCCTTCGCAACCTGCATCTCAACCTCCTCCGCAGCAAGCCCTTCGATCGAAAGGCCCACCACCGGCCCCGAAACCCGACGTCTCTGCCATTGCCTTCGAGTTTGCAGGAGGCAACGGAGACCGCTACCTCTTTCCGAAATTCAGCATTCTCGAATACCTCCCGGGGGGCCAGCAGGTCCTCGCCTCTTTCCTCATCGTACGCAAAGGAAGCCGCCTCGAATACGGGGGCGATGCGAAGCTGGACTACTACCAGCCCGTCACCATTCGGCTTTTCGCCCCGAATGGACGCCACCTGGAACACCTGCATCGCGTAGTCGCGCCCCAGGACGAAGTGAGACGGTACATGGACGATGTCATGGACCACATGACGCGAGCCGAGTACGTCCTGCTGGCCATGCGCCTGCCACGGAACGACCCGGACGGCGACGGGGAACAGACGGCACGAAACAGCCGAGAGGTCACGGTTGTGAACGGCGGTGCGACAGGCACCCCGGACGACGCCGCCGAATCGAACCTGCCGCGCGAACCAAGCGGGCCGGCTCCGCCCACGAGACCTCCTGTGTCGTGGAAAGGCGCGGCGAGGGATTTCATGGCCGCATTCCCCACGAAAGAGGCGTACGACGAGTTTGCTGCCTCGCGCCGCCGCAGGGGGGGAGCGGACGGACCCCTCGATTCGGCGGGAGCTTCGTTCAGGAAGGCGTGCGAGTATCTGGGCATCCCGTTGGCCCGCGTCGGTGACGATGATGAGGTTGAGTATGAGGCGCTGGTCTCGAAGCTTGCTGCCAAACAACGGGAGGCAGGGCGTCTCCCGTGTTAGCTAACCTTGTTGCGCATTCGTCTTCATGTACAGTTTAGTTGCGACTTTTGCATTGAACGGGATGGAATATCATGTTTTATGGGGTATCAGGAGTCGAGTGAGAAAATTATAGGTATACTAGGCGCGAAAAGGGGGCGCGTTTCAACAGCGGTGGGAATGGTTATTTTGGTATTCTTGGGAGTGTTTCTTTCTTTCTTCTTATTATCATTTGTCATGGTTATTTTCCCACCGCATATGCGACCATGCAATTTTTTGCTTTCTCTTTCTGCATCGCTGTGTTGCGTCGGTTAGAGGACGGGACGTGGTTCATTCTACTATCATTCTACTATTGATATGGGCACGAACTAAGGTAACTATTGGTATGGGAAACATGCAAAATGCTCCCTTTTGGGGGCACAACCTTTTCAAGTCTTTGCATGTGTCTTCGCTTGCTGAACCGTCGCGAGGCTTCTTGCTACAGAAGTGAGCCAAAGAGTTGGGTCTTCCGTCTTGGACAAGATTATCGGGATGGAGGATGGCGCAGTCGACGAAAGTTCGAAGCCATCCTGTTAAAGTTGCAATCGGCAATTTATAACATTTGATCATTGCAGGTAAACTAACTACCTACACGAGGACCATGCCTAAAAACAACATGGAAGAATCTGCTCGCTCTGGCATACATAAGACCGAAAGGATGGGAGCCATTGATCTGACCAGGTCTCGGGCTAGAGATGGAGTGGCGTGTTGCCTAAAATACCAAAACAAGTGTTGTACAGAACCGAGGATCACCGGGGGTTCGTCTGATGCATCGGTTCACTGGGACTTTTGCCGGCCGCTAACCACGGCCTGGACGCCTTTAGTGACGAGCCAGCCAGCCAAGAGAGTATGCAACCACTTCCCCACAGGGGTCTCGATGAGGACGGGCTTCTCGTCTTGCCGTCTCCACATCCACGTCTCGTTCACGAAAACAACTTGCTGGAGTTGGTGCTCATCGGCGGCGGCGTCGTCGTCGTCGTCGCTTATCTCCTCCCCGGCCCCGTCCCGAAAAGGGTTCGCTGGGGGGGCCGTCGCTACTTCGCAGACAACCAGCGCACGTGGGACGGGACCTCTGTACGAAGGGGGAGCTTCGAGAAGCAGCTCGACGCGGTCAGAGCAGAGCGGGGGGGAGGGGGAGGAGGAGGAGGAGGAGGAGGAGGAGGAGGAGGAGGAGACGCGCTGCTGGCCTGGACCGCGGTAGGAGACGCGATAGACGCCGTTGACCAGGTCGCCTGGTGCGAAGTCTAGGTTGGCTATCCAGTCGGCGTCGAAGGTCCGGCGGATGTCTGGGTCGCGGATGGAAGAGCGGATTAGGAAAGCCTGGGGGGTCCAGCTGAAGGCCGTCTGGGCCGCGCGGGCGTAGTCCCGGAGTAGATCAGATGTAGCTGCGGACGTTGGGGTGGTGGGGGGTGGAGTATCAGAGGGGGCGGCGGCGGTGGCGGTCGTGAGGTGGACGGGGACGGATAGGGAGGATGTCGATACTGCGTGTGATACGACTCGTTCGTAGGCCAGCACCCATTGGGAGTCGTCGGTTCTCACGTCTTCTGGAAGGGAGACTGGGTTCCAGGGCGTCGTTGTTGGCTCGGCCGAGGAAGATGAGTCAGATGACGACTGGTGTTGGTTTTTGTGGGGGATCCGACGACCAGCTGATGATTCTGTGCTCCTGGACACTACGCGACTGAGATATAGAAGATAGATTGCGGGGATGGCCACGGGGAGAAGCGCCAGTGCCACTGTCGTGGGACGGCTTGGTGAGAACGCAATATGAATGCCGAATGTCATGATTGTTGATGAAGCTCGAGTTGGATTCCAGGCAGAGGTTGTCATGAAGGAACCAAGCGAGAATACCCGAGTCGCGAGTCTGGGGAAATCCGGTAGTAACCTGTAAGCTACGTCGTAATCGGCGCCATTATTCCCCCGAGTAGAGCACACCTTGGATGACACGGGCTTTTGGCCCCGGTTACTTCGTATAACTGCTCGAACACACAACCATCTATACCATCGGCGTGGGATAGATATTCGATGTTCCACTGGGTTGAGACTTAAAGTCAGGAGAATTGGTCGCGTGGTTTTTTACCTTGGAACTCTGGAGTGGCTGGAGGGACGAGGGACGGACGAGGGATCTCCAACCCGAAGACGCTGACTCATCATTTAGTTCTGACATCGCGCAACAATATTATGCCGGTTCCGAAGCGGACCGGCCCGGACCCCCGACCCCCGACCCGTTACCCGTGACCCGTAAACCGGAGTTCCGCCATTTCGTCCGTCTCAAGCCACAACAGGTGTTCGGAATTACCCCCTTTCAAGGTGGAATGCTTGACATATTTCGACATACTTCCCCTCCACGATGTCGTGATAGCTCCCTCCAGCTCATCATACATCGTTCATGAAAGTTAAGACGGTTAGACCTCCTGTCATGGTCCTCATGGATTTATCATGGTCCTCATGGATTTATCATTTATGAAGCACGATTTAGCATTCGTCCAAATGATATATATCTGCCCGGGTCTCGGGAATCCTGTATCACCCACACACTCTGACTCAGACATCAGCAACTATATCTCAATTTCTCAAGGCTTTCATGACCATAATCCCAGGTATGGTTGCGCTAAGGCCTGGCACATCTGACAGCTTTGCCGCGGTGATACAAACGAACAGTAAGTGGACGTCGGACTTCATGTGTCGGGAATCCGGGTAACCCCCTGTAACAGATACGCAGGATGCAGGCTGCAGCCTCAAATTGATGTTCATGGTTCGTCCCACCTGCGGAGGCGACCCCTGACAGTTGAGACATTGTCAGTCCTGCTAGCTTTTGTTTGACTCCCGAGTCCCAATGGGCAACGCCGCAACGGAAAGAATCAAAGTTAGTCCAACTGTTTCCAGTTGCGGTACTCGAAGATAGGGCCTACTCGGAGACTCGAATTCGACCCTCACAATCTGAAGACAGTGTCTTTTCCTTGCTGAACAGCAGGGGTAGTCACGGCGAGATGCCGCCAGTGCCCTGTAGTATGATCCGAGTACCAAGACCGTTGGATACGACCCTTGATTCTAGTCCGAACGAAGTTTGTCTTTAAATGGCCGGTGAGACGTTTTCCCCGTCCATATAAATAGACCCCCATGCATGCTTCCCAACTGCCAACGGGTGGAGGTGTCCGTCACTATTCGATTCTATAGCTCTCTAGTTCGTTAGGAGCTTGATTATGCGGCTCTCTAGGATGGCTTACAATACGAGTCTGAAGTCATCTTATAGCCTCGTCTGCTATCTTCCTTCAGACAGTCAGACTGCTTTGCCTTCAATGTTATCATAGTTTCATCTCCGGCCTTCACGATATGGAGATGGACCATGATTCATAGGTTTCATCAAACTCATGCCGACAAGTCCATTCCATTATCTGCCATCTCCTGACAGGTCACAGATCCAACACGAGATGACGTGTCAACGCCGGGATCTCTCCCAGATTTATATCTCTCGCTAGCAGTTGTTTGTCATCCTTGGCTCCAGTTGTCTTCAGGCTTCGTAGACCGGCACTGTATCTTGCAATTCTACTCGCCGCCACAGGCCTTCGCTGGAGGATATCTACGGTGGATAAGCGCTTCTTCCCACGTCTACCGTTAAGTATTGTTGCGATTCGAACCTAGAACATGCAGAATCCCTCCTCTTCTCCCCTAACTTCCTTGCACTGGACCATGCCTAGGAGCCTGGGACAGTCTGGAGGTTTTAGTTAGCGCAATCACGGTGGAATGGATAGATGTCAGCTCTTCAAGACGCTATAGCGGCAACATCATGAGAAAAGTTCGTAATGGAGACGACCAGGTACCGAGAACATCAGCCGTGAGGCGAGTTTTTATAGAGATCAGGTCCCGACAGGTGAATAAGAAGGGGCTCACCTCGCCTGTTCTTCAACTTTTTCTCCTTCCTCTCCTTCCCAGAGACACCCCTTTAACCCAGAGCACTTTGGTCTGTTGCGTCTTGCGTCTCATCTTGGCAGGTCACCTCAAGTCTGCTAACACGTCAAGCCTCGTTGACTTACTCTCGTTTTCTTCACACACACACACACACTACTTCGTTTTTCTCAAGATGAGATTCACGTCCCTGATCTTTTCTGCCGCTCTCGCCTCGGCTACCGCGTTCCCCGGCGAGGCGGACGAGGCTGCCAACGAGGGCAATGTCGAGACTGCCTTCCAGCCCGACGTCCCCCGGCCTGTCCTGAACGCCAAACCCTCCGAGGCCGACATCCCGTGGGCGGCGGCGGCCGAGCTCGAGGCTGCCGGCTTGGCAAAGCGCTCAGCCGAAGCCCAAGGGGCCAGCAAGAACATCGGCAACTTCCTCCACCGTGGCGAGCAAATCGTCGGTCATGCTGGCGCCACTTTCGGCAGCGGCAAGGATGATGATTTCTTCAAGGATAAAGATGACGACGGCGCTCGTGACGGCTGTACTGGTCAGGGTTGCTTGTATGTTTTCTCCGGGGCGCCCCCCTTTTCTACTTGCCCGTTATAACTGGCGTGTGGAATACTGACGAGATAAACAAGTGGACGCGCATCTGAGGAGGACGGGAAGTACTCGCACGACCGTGAGCGTCAACACAAGGATGATACTGAAGGTGAGAGGCATTCCTCAAAGAGACGTACCAGAAAAAATTACTTGATATTCTAACCATTCCAAGGCTTTGAGGAGCACTATTGGGTTGAGGCCATCAATGGCAACCACAACCTCGCCAATACTGTACGGTCCCCTCCTGAAAGTAAAGGTTCGTTTTGACTGATATCGGGTGAAATCTAGCGCGGAAAACATTACCACGACCAAGGTCATGATGGCCATAGGTAAAGACCAAGAGACCCTCACAAGCAACTAGATTACCATGACGACTGACCATTTCTTAGGCATCATAGTCATCACCATAAGCATCATGACGACAAGCATCGTCATCTCCACCATGACCACAAGTATGTGCCAGTGCATGAACCCTGGTTAGCTGTTTCTTTTATGACGCTCGCAAAATAACTAACAGCCCTTAGGCTCCACGATGCGCGTTACTCCGAGGTTCCCCACCATCATGAGAAGCGCGCCCTGGCCGCGGAGGAGGTCCAGGCGGACGATGTGGTTAAGCTTGCCGTGGCCGGTGATGAGGGTGAATACGTCAAGAGGCAGACGTACGATGAGGGAAAGACGCCAGTCTACTCGGACGATCGCAACGAACGGAAGAAGAAGTCTGAGAAGGACGATGTCGAGTACTACCGCGAGAGTGAGTCTTTTCCTGCCACCAGCGTCTCATCCAGGCCCTCCGACCTTTTTCTAACCTTGCCTTGCTACAGTAATCGGCCATAACCACGATCTGGAAAACAAGGGCGACTCTTTCCAGCATGGCCAGCAACACCATCACCATGGTCACCATCAGCACCATCAGGGCCATGACGACTACCACCACGGGCACGGCGGCCGGAAAGACCTGATCTGCATCCGAGACCGCTGTTTCGAGCGACCCAAGCCCGACGTGGTCAAGGCCGAGGAATAAGTCCCAGGACTCTGCAGTGGAAGCAAAAACTCCAGGCCAACATGGTCTCGTCTGGGTCTTGGAAAGCTGAGAAGCTCCCTTTGTGGCTAGGCTACTCGAGGATGGTGCTGCATAGTCTACAATGTGCGAAAAGGATGATGAGAGGACTTGAAGGTATTTATTCTTCTGGCAGCAAGTTCTTATTTCCCCTTCTTCCCCCCTCTCCCACTCCCCCCCCTTTTCTTTTTCTTCAACTCTCTTTCGACCCCCTTTTCCTACGCGCTTAATGTTTGTTATCAAAATGGCCGATTTATAGAGAAGCTCTCGGAGTTCATGGGGAAAACAAGCCGGGAAATGGTTTGGGGCCTCTCTAATTGCCCAGCATTTCATGTTGGAAGAGTCAAGACCAGGCGGTGTATGCGGTTACGGACAGTCCATGTCGGTCTTGGAATCTGTGCTTGGAACAAATAGTCTTCTAGTTATATGTGCTTCAATTTTCAAAGGGTTCGTTCACGAAGGCCCAAAGGAGAAAAGGACGAGACTACGGTTCCTGATCCGAGTGTTGAATGCTGTGAATTGTGATTTGATGTTTCCGCTTGCTCCCCTCGAGACTTCGCTATTGCTACCATGACTCCAGTGAAAAGGGGCGGGAAAACAAGTAAGGACTGAAAGAAACCATTGAAAACCCCGCCCCCCGGATAGTAAGAACAAAAACATTGGAATGAAGACAAGAATGAAAAACACCGGACAAAAATTTCACGCCATGGAGCCACCACTCCGATTCGCGCCGACGAGGCCCGCCATCTCCAACAAGGCACGGTCAGTCGCCATATCGCCCGTGCCAAGGTTCACCTTCCTCCTCGCCTCGGCCTCGCGAGCCTCCCAAGCCCAATGCTCCGCCTGCGCCCTCGCCTCCGCATCGCCGCCGCACCCCCACACCTCGAGGCTCTGCACCTCGAACCGCTCCTGGAAGTCAAACCTGCGCGTGACCGAAGGCCGGAAGGCCCCGCCGCGGGACGTGTAATCGTGGTTGAAGACGGCATGGCCAAACGAGTCGTCCAGCAGGAGCGACACGGCGCCGAGGGAGAGCAGGGTGTCCCGCCGGCGCGCGGCGGAGGCCTTGGACGGGCGCGGATGCGGACACCCGACGGACAGGAGGGCGCGGTTGGAGGGCGGCTTGGTGAGGGCGACGTAGTCCCGGTTGAGGCGCGAGGCGGGGAAGACGTCGTGGAACGGCTCGAGCTGGAAGAGCAGCGTCGAGTCCGGGTCGCCGAAGCATTCCTTGGCGGTGTGGCGCCAGGGCTGGCCCAGGTAGAGGCCGAAGGTCAGGCGGGAGGAGGAGGAGGAGGAGGAGGAGCCGGAGCCGGAGCTGGAGCCGGAGCCGGTAGCCCCGGGGGGGAAACGGCGCGGGGGCAGCGAGGCGGCGAAGGCGGCTTCCTGGGCGCCGTCGGGTACGCTGTCTATACGAGTGCCGCGGACGAGGAGGATGGTGGGGGCGCGCCAGTTGAAGACTTTGGTTTCGAAACTGCGCATGGAGAAGCCGGCTTCGTTGCCCGAGTAGAGGAGGCGGAGGCGGCGGAAGAGGTCGGAGCCTGGGATGAAGAGGGAGAGTTGGGACAGGACGTTGAGGTCGAGGATGTCGGCTTTGTCTTGCAGCAGCAGAGGCTGGACTGGTTCGTGTATCACGGGGGGGATGGACGGGGCGGCCTGGGTGCCTGGGTTTGTCTGCTGGCTGTGGCTGTGGCTGTGGCTGGGGAGAGGGCGGAGTGTGTTGGAAAAGAGGAAGTGCTCGAACAGGGGATGGAATCCATGGAAGAGATAGGGGAAGCAGGTGGGGATCACGCGGTTGAAGTCCCTGTATCGGATGCCGGGGGACTTTTCCGGGTTGATGAAGCTGGCGAGAATGTTTTCGGCGGTTGATCGTAGCTTTTCCAGCTCGTGGCGATCTGTGGCAATGCGCGAAGAATGGGCGGTGGATAGGCTTTCCTGCGGATCAAGCCCGGACGTGAGAAGCAGGAGCATGAGGATTTTCCTGAAGTTGTCGGCCGGGATCATGGCTTCTTGCATGAGATGGGACGGGGCATCGCCCTTGTTTACGGCTTCATGGATATCGAGAAGCTCAAGAGCTGACATCTCCAGGTCGCCTTCGTCAACGTCATCTTCTCCTTCAAAGTCATCGTCCCCAACTTGGTCGACACGAAAGCCCTGGACGTGACTCCGACTCCGACTGCGAGTCCGACTTCTCCTCGAAGAAGGTTGTTCGTGGGTGGGATCCTTGACCGTCTCCTTGTCACCCGACCTGAGTTCGAGAGATTCCCGGTCATATACAGCCATGCTCTTGAAGAACAGCTTAGTGCGGTCTCTGGAACCACGGGCAAGGACGCGCTTGTATCGGTTCGTCATGATGGTGATGACCATGACCATCTGGTCGAGCCCCAAGACGGCCGGGGCGTCTCGGAGGAAAGGGAACGCGCCAATGTAGGAGATGATCTGGAAGAGGACGGGAGAGACGCGGAAGGCATCGGGCAACTCGAGGAAGCGGGCAATGGTGTCTTCCTTGAGGAATTCAATGTCGCTTTGCTGGTCGGCCAAGCTCTTGAAGACGTCCTTGAGCGAGTGTAGCTCGAGCGGTGTGTAGCACTTTTCGGTGAAGCGCATTGCCTGCCATTCTCCCCGAAAGTCCCGTTAGCTGGCAATTTTCCTTCACGAGAAGCAGCGGTCAAGGACGAAACGGCGGTTGCTCACAAGTTGATGAACGACCTCCTCGCGGCTCAGCCGGCCGGGTTGTTGGTCGGATATCGACTGTCCCATTTCGAATTCTGCATATAGAACGGTGGATTGAAGTTAGTGGATGGCGCTTTTCCGAGTTTGATGGTTAAAAATAGAGAATGATTGTCACGTCGGGAAGACGTAGGACGTGAACGTTGAAAGTGACGACTATTTATTTCTTAATCGGTCCCAAGAGTCGGATGGGACCAAGGTACGTAAGTGGGAGATGGTGGGCTGGGAATGACGGATCCGGTGGCGGGGTCGAAGCTGTTCGAGCCGTTGAAGCTCCTAATATACCTAAGATACCCAAGGTACCTTACGTTGTACAGTACAGTAAGGTAGGTACAGTAGGTAGGTAGGTACAGTACATTACCTAATCAGTTAGCTTCAGGTGACCTTACAGCTGGTGTGGGCCCCAGGAGGACCCGAAGAACGCCCCGTAGACCCCTGGAAGAACGCCCCGTAGCCACCCGAGGCAACCCGTTGTGGTTTCGTTTCGGCCAACCGCTGCAGACATCACCAAGGTACCTCATCCTGAATTCGGTACCTTCATAAACAGACGACTCAACCTACGGATACCCAAGTCATTGACAATCCCCAAGCGAAATTTGGTGTTGTATAATCAGCTATAGGAGTTCTCTCTCTCTTTCTCATTTCATGCCCAAAACGCCAGTCCTTATGTCTGTAATAATATACAATGGCAAATGAAACCCCGTCAATCAAGGTTGTACGTGTACATGAGAGATCAGGGCATCAGGCCATTGTAGCCCATGGGCAGGCGGCTGAGCCGAGTCTCTGTCTGCAATCATCAGGCCACCCCCGATATACCGTCTCGGACGACTTCTCGTCGCAGGGACTTTGACACTTGCTCTTATTTCTTCGGGGAATCATCGATGCCGTCCTTGGTCGATGTATCCTTAGGCTTGATCGGTCCCCTGACCTTCCGCATCACAGCCGCCGCCTCATCCGCCGCCTTCCGCTCCTTCTCGGCCTGAGCATCCGAGTCCACTGTCTCTTGTGGCTTGCCCCATCCACCCGAGAGTCCCAGTGCGCCGAGGACACCGGGGCCTTGTTTCGACTCCTCCTCCCCCTTTTGTTCAGCAGCAGCAGCAGCAGCAGCAGACGCCGCCCGCGCCGCCTGGACCTGCGCCTTCCGATCCGCCATCATGGCCTTGAGCGCCTTCTCCTCCTCGTCGCGGACCTCGAGCTCGCGGATCCACCTCTGCCGCTTCTCCTCCTTCTCCTTCTGGTCCTTGAGCTTGCGGATCTCCTGCGACACCTGCCGGTCTTTGCTGTAGTACATGCCGCCCGCCACCATGGCCAGCACCGTGAAGCCCTGCGCCGCCACGCGCGCGCGGAACATCTTGTTGGCCGTTTTCGAGTCGCCGCGGCGGAGGGCGCGGTAGGAGGACACGAAGGCGAAGACCGTTAGAGCCGCGCCTGTTTTGTTTGTGCAAAATTTGTTAGATTAGAAGAACAGGCGAATGAAACGCCGGGCCTACAAAGGGGGGTGAGGGTGAGCATGCGGCTTGCTCCCATACATACCCAAGGGAACGAGGGGTTCCTCTCTCAACTTTCGCAGAATCTTGGCCATGGGCTTCTCAGTGTAGAACTCGCTATCGGGCGGGGGTAGACATATGTTAGTAGAGCGCCCTTTCTCTCCGTCGCGCGAGGGGGGCAGGCTCGGTGTTACTGGTTCTCGTCGAAGGACGACGGCATCTGCCGCGAAGAGAGCGGATCATCGTCGATGTTCGGCATGGTGGATAGAGCAGTCTGGCGGCGGTTGGAGTGACTGTTTTTGAATCGTTATATCGAAGAGGGCAAGATGCGATTGTTCTATCGTGTATATGTCTATGTGTGGTGCGTGTCTGCTGCGTGGTATGCGCTGCGGTCGTCGGTCAGAAGCATGGGCAAATTGCGTGATGGTCGGGAGAAAGGTCTGTTGAAAATCGATGACGGCGAATTGGCATCCCTACAACATCCGACGCCAAAGCTTTCGGGGACGGACCATAGGACGGTACATGACAGTGTGTAAGTGTGTATATGCACTATATGTACGGTACCTACCCCACAAGGGACCGGCACGCGGTGTCGACTGACCGAACTGCGATGTACCTTTTGAATTGTTTCGTAACTTCCAACTTGGCCTTACCGATAAGGTGCTGTGCTTCTGGCGACTGTCCCAATGCGAGTATTCTTAGAGAAACGACAGAAGATACATCTCAAAATACCTGACATTATATATGACCAACCTACTCTCCCTGGCGAGTGCAACGAATCTACGTAATAGCTAGACCCAATCACCGGAGTGGTTACCTTGGGAAAGGAAGCACATATGTATACGAAGTATCTTGGGTACAATCTCACATTTGTCTCTTCTTCTGGAATAAAAAGTCGAATACGAGAATGGGAAGAAACACAAGATGATGCCCTCATCCGGTGCGTTCATGACTAGCATGGAGGAATTTCTTTTTATCGTTGTTCTGGAATTACCTGTATAATAGCCGTTCACTCGTGTTGAAGCTTCCGACTTGTTGCTACCGGCACCGGAGTATGAATGGGGGGTTTTCTGGATTCGTGAGAATGGAGTTCATCCCATTGGTGGATTTATCGACCAATAACCTGGGACAGCGGTATCGCCTGGTGTTTTATCGGGACCCAAGACCATACAACCAATCGGAACGCAGGACTACATGTTCACCGCCTACCCCTGTAGCAAGGGAAAGGTGAAGCTCCGATTTTGCCCCGCGTGGGACCAAAATTCAATCTCCCCAGCTTCGTCGACGAGTCTGTCAACACAGAACTTATCCGTGACTCAATCCACTCCCCGAACCGACCACTCAACCATGGCTGAACCCTCAGAACCCAACCCTGTGCCCGTGATGACGAACGGGACGGTCAATGGAGTCAACGGGGTCAATGATGATCACAGACCCCAGACGCCTCAAACCAATGGCATGTCATTGACCGAGTACAGCGCCAACCCAACAACACCTGCCGAGATCAAACGTAACCGCTCCAAGAGCCTCGTTGCCGATGAATATCTCCTTCCCGATGGCCACCCAGACGTGAGATAGTCATAGTTCCTTACCCTGCCGTTACATTCTCTCAATTTCTTCTCCCAATTTTCCCGTTTTAACTGACCCTTTCCCCCATGACAGTACCTACGTCTCATCGCCGGTGCCGCATCCCGTGTCTACGAAGCCTGCAAGCTCACACCGCTCCAGCCCGCAGTCAACCTGAGCAACCGTCTCGAATGCAACGTTCTCTTCAAGCGGGAGGATGAACAGCCCGTCTTCAGCTTCAAGCTACGGGGCGCCTACAATAAAATGGCCCACCTCGACCCGGCCAAGAGCTGGAAGGGCGTCGTCTGCTGTTCCGCCGGCAACCATGCCCAGGGCGTCGCCTACTCGGCCCGGAAACTCAAGATCCCCGCTACCATCGTCATGCCGGAGGGCACACCGAGCATCAAGCACTTGAACGTGGCGCGCCTGGGCGGCCACGTGGTGCTGCACGGCGCCGATTTCGACGCCGCCAAGGAGGAGTGCGCGCGGCGGGAACAGCAGGACGGGCTCATCAACATCCCTCCCTTCGACGACCCCTACGTCATCGCCGGCCAGGGTACCATTGGCATGGAGCTGTTCGGCCAGACGAACATGCAAAAAGTCGAGGCCATCTTCTGCGGTGTCGGTGGCGGCGGCCTCATTGCCGGCGTTGGCGTGTACATCAAGCGCATGGCGCCCCTCGTCAAGGTCATCGGCGTGGAGACGCACGACGCCAACGCCATGGCCCAATCCCTGGCCAAGGGCGAGCGGGTCCTGCTGAAAGACGTGGGGCTCTTCGCGGACGGCGCGGCCGTCAAGACGGTGGGCGAGGAGACCTTCCGCCTCGCGCAGGAGGTGGTGGACGACGTCATCCAGGTGACGACGGACGAGGTGTGCGCCGCCATCAAGGACATGTACGACGACACGCGGTCGGGGCTGGAACCCGCCGGCGCGCTCCCCATCGCCGGCCTCAAGAAATACGTCGCCGCGAACCCGTCGTCCGATCCCCGGCGTACCTTGATCGCCATCACCTCGGGCGCGAACATGAACTTCGACCGGCTCCGGTTCGTCGCCGAGCGCGCCACCCTCGGCGAGGGCAAGGAGGTCCTCCTCTCCGTGCAGATCCCCGAGAGGCCCGGCTCGTTTTTCCAACTCATCGGCCTGGTCATGCCGCACTTCGTCACCGAGTTCTCCTACCGCTACGCGACCGACGAGGCCGCCAACGTGCTCATCGGCCTGTCCCTGACCGCACCCGCGTCCCAGCGCGCCGAGGAGCTGCAGATGCTCCTCGCCCGCATCCGCGCCGGCGGCATGGCTGTCACGGACCTGTCGGGCGACGAGCTCGCCAAGAGCCACGTCCGGTACCTCGTCGGCGGCCGCTCCAACGTGCCCGACGAGCGCATCTACATGTTTAACTTTCCGGAGAGACCTGGCGCGCTGGAGCGCTTCCTGCGGACGCTCCGGCCCAAGTTCAACATCAGCCTGTTCCAGTACCGCAACTCGGGTGGCGATGTTGGCAAGATCCTGGCCGGCATCCTCTGTCCCCAGGAGGAATTGCACGAGCTGGAGAGGTTCCTGAAAGAGGTCGGGTATCCGTTTGAGGATTGTACCGATTCGCATGTTTTCAAGACATTCCTGCGAAGCTGAGAATATGTTCCCATCTAGGTACCTGGGGAGTTGTTGGGCGTTTGGAGTTGGGACATAAGGTAGAGCTGGTTATCTCAAAAAGAGGGAACGCATCTCAGGATTTGGATTCTTCACCTGTCGATATCTTGCAGCATTTAGAGTTAGAAGAAAAATAAGACTAGATATTCAAGTAAAGTAACATTTTGGAGACTAATCGACTTTTATAATTGAATTAGGTTCTCTTGGTAAATGTCAAAGTCGAAGTCCTCGGTGAAACGCGTTATACCTACCTATACCCTCGGTGGAACATCGGTGAGTCTCGGTGAACAGCATCGCGCTTCTCTGGGCGGAATGCACGGACCACTCATCCACGTGATATGTCAAATCCGGAAGATCCCGGTCCAGGTCGTTGTTTGGTAACTTTTGCAGCTTCGTCCATCACCAGGCTTGCTCAATCGAGACGGCCTTCCCGACCGATTCCCAAAAACAAAAAGAAACCAATCCCCAAAATGGCAGCGTCAAGTCTCTCGCGCTGCTTCAGGGCGCTCTGCCTCTCGGCGACGACTCGGGCAACCGTCGCGAAGCCCGCACAAACCGCCCTCTCCCAAACCCGATCCCTTTCGCACGCGATCCTCCCGAGGCCACGGCTGGTAGCGCCGACGACCAGCACAAAGCCGGCCCTGTCCGTTCAGACTACAATTCAGCAGACGCGGGGCATGAAGGTTCACAGTTCGGTCAAGAAGAGATGCGAGCATTGCAAGGTAAGTTTCTTTCTTTCTTATTTTTTTTTTCTTTTTTTTCGCCTCCTCGCTTTCGCGGCCAACACGAGACGCTGACGGGGGATGGGCTGGGACCAGATCGTGCGGAGGAAGGCCGGAAAGAGGCATAATGGATATCGTTACGTTATCTGCAAGGCGAACCCGAGACATAAACAGCGGCAAGGATAAGCGTGGTGGCCCCAGCCGTGGGGATAGCGGAGGTTTCGATGCGAGAGAAGACCGACATGGACCAGCTGCGGATGAAGAGAGAGGGCGTTGAAGAATTGTATGAATGCACTCGGGGCGAAACATATTGGCGTTTTTTTCTTCCCCACAGGGCACGCAAAGCAAGCTCCTGGACCATATGCATCCCATCCTCGACTCGGAATGTACCATTACTACAGGATACTATACAACGGGATAGGACATTGTTATAACCCCTGGATATACCTCTGCATACCCTCCCATTCTGCCTTGCCAGTCGATATAAGATACCGGATATGACCCTGTGGAGGCATGGAGGCATCAGAACGTGATATCTGCGAAACGGTAGGGGTAAATCAAGCGGGGATCGGCTCACAAGATCGGTTACGTCGCGATGGCGCTCAAATTCTGCGCGGACGTAGCGCCGCGTCTCGTCCTTGGTCGAATCGTCCGGGATGCGGGCGGTGCCGCGGAAGATATCCCTGTAGAGCGCCAATGCACGGGATCGTTGGATGAACTAACCCCCTCTCTCACCGTCAGTCCCTGTGCGAATACGTGCGGTTTGTGGCCTCGGTGATTGATCTACACATACGTGATCCAGGCTCATGGTCCGGCCGAGGCGGGACTTGCGCGACGCATTGGAGTAGGTGCGGATCGCGTGCCACCAGCGACCACCTGCGAGGAGGTTCATGGGAGAGCAATTGGAAGACTACATCGATAGAAAGAAGAGTTGGACTGGCCTTGTCTACGGTTTTGGTGTCGTTTTGTCGTAGCAAAGCGTGCTCCGTGAAGTAGTTTTTCTTTTCTTTTTTTCTTTTTTTTCTTTGGACGCTGTGACGATGGGACGATGGGATAGATCGGGAAATCGTCGGGGTTGATTAGTCATGCGCACACAGCATGTTGTGATGCGACCACGTGCGACTTCGCGAGTTGAAACAGCTCTCTCTCTCTCTCTCTCATCATGTGACAGCGCGTTTGATTCAAACATACATCTTCCGGAATACTTCGGTTTCTGTTGTGATTGAAATTGCGCGATTCCATGTTCTTCAAAGGCCGGTCATGACGATCAAGAAGCGGCCCAGGGCGCCGACCGACCCCCTCGAAACGGCGAATCGCCAGTCGGACGAGGACTTCATCCGCAACTACCTGAAACCTAGGTAGGGTATTCTCGGTGCATACCTGCGTACTTACGACAAAACGTGAGCGATGCCTAATACTCCCTGTCTTCTTAGCGAAGGGTGGACGAAATGGGCGCATCCGCGGACCGAGGCCCCTTACACCCTATCACTGAAGGGCGTCCCATCCCTGACGACTGCTGAGCTTGCGGCCTGCTTTGCTCTGGTTGAGAAGACGAGCAGTGCCGACTACCGGGCCTCGTCTATGGGGTGGAGCCCGTTCAAGAAGACTGAGATGAAATCACCCGACTTGCGGTACATCCTCGTCACGGACGAATCGGGCTCTCTGCGTGGGTTCACGAGTTTCATGCCCACGTGGGAGGAAGGGGAACCGGTGATATATTGCTACGAAATCCATCTCGAAGATGATCTGCGTGGGTTCGTGTTGTGTTTTCCTCTCCCGGTACCCCTCCCCCCTTCGACGTCGCTAATGTGCTCTCCGTAGCACTGGATTGGCCGGGTTGCTCATGGGCTTTCTCGAGACAGTTGCGGTCAATATTCCGCTCATTGAGAAGGTCATGTTGACCTGCTTCCTGAGAAACGCGAAAGCCGTGGCATTTTACAAGAAGCTGGGATTCGTGAAGGATGCCATCTCGCCCCAGGAAAGGAGGTTGAGGGGTGGTAAGCTCTTTGTGCCTGACTATGTCATCATGAGTCGAACGATTTCACGAACAGCTACTTGAAGGGGGAATCGGCATGTCGTGGGTATATGCTAATCGTCTTCTGTGTCTTCTACGCGTCGCTTTGTGGTATAATGTGGCCACATGCTCGTTCTGAGATGGTAAAGTGAGAGATGTGATGCGTAACAACAAGCAACGAAAAAAAAGAAAAGAAAAAGGAAAAAAAGAAGAAAAAAAATGTTTATTTTGAATAGGCATTTGATTGACTTATGTGACAGGTTTCATCGGGGAGTAGCTCTCTGGCCATTTTGACTGGAAATCCCTGATGTTTGGCTAATTAGTCGTCCGTAACTCTGCACATTTTTTTTTTTAAAAAGTCATGCGACCTCCCTATGCCAACCGGGGCACACTTAAGAGCGGACACTCCTCCAACATGTCTTTGAGTTTTCGGAACTAATGTAACGCTGTCGTATGTTATGCCAAAGACCATGCCATGACGCGCATACAAATATGACCATACGAGTAAGGTGGGCATGGCAATGATGCTATCAGCGAAGTCAATGAAATCTAATGAGACGACATGTTAAGTCACGTTTGCAATAACAATCCATTTTGAGAGCGATCCCAGACTCCCAGTAATGCTCAGTTGTTTATTCCCTGAGAGATTCTGAAAATCAAGAAAGTGGTCGGTTAGCTCAGTTGGTTAGAGCGTCGTACTAATAATGCGAAGGTCATGAGTTCGACCCTCATACTGACCATTTCTTTTTTTGCCCGTGGTTCCGCTCTTCCAAATAATTGCAGCACACTGAGATAAAGGCTGGTGGGTGATTAAGGCCTCGCGGTCCCGTGTAACTCTATTTTTGCTTGACATAATCATTATAATTGTATTCCGCCCTAATTTTAATGCTGCCAGAACAAGAATAAGATACAAGGAGCAGACTCATTCAATTACCTTATCTAGCTAGGTAGTTAGGACTCGGTCTTGTCGGTAGAGCGACTTTAAATCCACCGAGAAATGGGTCTGCACGAGGTATCCAGTACCTTCTGGCCTCGGACCTTGGCTTAGCCACCATGGAAGTCCCACCCCGATCTTATATCCTTTCTGTGTTCCCAGAATTCCAGATACTAATATAGGGAGAATGCAGTTATCTCTTTTACTCCCCAGGAGACTAGGTAGTTAGTTCCGCAACTTATGTACACGTGCCTAAACATCGTAGTAGTTACGACAAAGCTTAACATATACGCGTGCGTTCCCAGGTACACAGAACCCCGCCAAGAAGCAGCCTTGCTTGTCCCTGGCACATGTGGACCTCAGTGAGGGGCCTAATATATGAACCCAAAACGGTCCGAACCAATAGGAACCTCACGTCTACAACCGAGGAGGCTGATTATCAGATGATCAGATAAGATGTGAATTTCTCACTCATACCTGAACCTCCCACACAACCGGGATCGTATCCCCTCTCCCCAACACCAACACGCCCTCGCCTTTTGTGACTGAGTCCCCGATGCCGTCGCCATGCGGAACACACGCCGCTCCTTTTTCGCCCGCGTGCTTCTGACGGCAACATGGCTCTGGCTCTGCTCCGGCGCCCTCGCAGCAGGCGGCAACGGTATCGACGAGACCAAATCCTTCGGGGCGTGCACGCTAGCCCTGCAAACGACCCACTTCTCCGACGTCGGACCCAACGCTACCAAACTCGAAGAAAAATGCCAGAGTCGGCTACGCCACCTGTCGTTGTATCTCTGTCTCAAGGTCTACGGTAGAAGTGGTGGCTGGGCGGACGAGTTGGCGGCGCAGAACGACACGTGCGAGAGGTTTCTTCACACGCCTCTACCCCCGTTCGACATTGTGGCCAATTATACCGACACTGAGGTTCCCCGGTTGAGGCAGGTCACGTTGCAGGACTGGAACGATAGAGTCACTTTTGATGAAGAAGTGATTGTGTCGGATGCCTTGCACGGTATCGCATATGGCACGCTTGTCAGTGATTCTTCGCACATTCCCGCTTGGCCTGACGGCCCGTGCTCACGTCATGACCATCCACTTACACGTTTTACGTAGTATGCATGGGATTACGCGTATTCTCGTCATTTTAGCTACGGGTATGTGTACCGCATCCGCATGGTCTGAGAATCAACACTGACATTGAGTAGCTGGGCCATGGCCGTATTCTGGATAGTGGTCGTCCTGGCGGGTGCATCTGCCCGCCTCGTCTCGGCCATTCGCCGTCATCGGGGTTCGAGCGAAAAGTCCCAAAGTAGGATGAGGACTGTGATTGACCGAGTACCTGCCTGGGTGTGTCGGCATATAACGGCCCCTGCAACGTTCGGCTACCGGTGCGCCCAGAATCTTGGGTGGTGCACGATCCCTCCCAGAGGCCAGAGCCTCACGATTCTTGTCTTTCTCATTCTCAACATTTTCGTCAGTACGAATGGCTATATAGTCATGCCGGTGAACCTCTAGTACGTTTTTGGAACACCAACCCATCGGGGGATAGAACACTCTGATTCACATCTTACTCCACATGCAGCTTCAATACCCCGACGAAGCAGCTTCTGCGCTATGTTTCCGACCGCACGGGCATTGTTTCGTTTGCCAACTTCCCGATGATATGGCTCTTTGGCATGCGGAACAATCTGGCGTTGTGGCTGACGGGCTGGGACTTTGGAACGTACAACAACTTTCACCGATGGGTGGCGCGGATTGCGACCCTTCAGGCAGTCGTTCATTCCATCGGCTACACTGTTCTTATTCTGCTGGGTACGCATGATTTCTTGTTCGAAGGACGGTCTCACACAAGTCCATTTCTGACAGAATATAGACGGCGGATGGGAGTATTTCGCTTGGTGGTGGACGCAGCTCTTCTTTTGGACCGGGGAGGTGGTAGGTGGTCTTCTTTCCCCTTTTACTCTCTCTCTCTCTCTCTCTCTCTCTCTCTCTCTCTCACACACACACACACACATTGTATCTGTGAACGACCCAGAAGATATCACTGACTTCATTCAAGGCAACCATTCTCATGTGCCTTCTCCTAGGCTTGGCGGTATATTGGCTGAGGCGAAAGCAGTATGAGACCTTCCTTATCATACACGTCGTGCTCTCCATTTTCATTCTGCTCACCATGTTGGGGTTCGTGATACCCGCCATTCATTTCCCCACTCCACCACGCAACATATGACTGACGTGCCGGCGTAAAAGCCATGTTTCCATATTCAAGGTCCGCTACGACCTGATGGTCTGGATCCCCGCGACGATATGGGCAGCCGATCGGATCCTGCGCGTGTCCCGGACGTTATCCTTCAACCGCCGCTTCTGGAACACCAAGGCGTCGGTCAAGTACGATCCCAGCAGCAACATCATCCGCCTCGCCGTCCCCTCTTCCTCCAGCCTCTACACCCCGCAGCCGGGGACGTTCTACTACCTCCACGTGTTGAGCGACAAGCGGTTCTGGGAAAGCCACCCGTTCACCATGGCCTACTCGACGGGGGCCAGGGAGGCGTGCGGTAAGGATCTGGGCGAAAACGCGCCGTTGTTGCCGGCACAGCACGGCCGGGGGGGCGACGAGGCATTCGCCGTCGGGTCGGAGGGCGGCGAGGGGGAACCGAGCATGGTGGGCTTCCTGATCAGGCCGTATGATGGCTTTACTTCCCGGCTGAGAGACGCGGCGTCGAGGTCGAGCCGTTGTCCGCAGTCGGGACCCGTCTCGATCCAGGTTCTCGTCGAAGGACCGTACGGACGCACGGGGCCCTTCGTGGAGTATGAGAACGTCCTTTTCGTGGTGGGCGGCAGCGGGATCGTGGTGGCGATGGCGTATCTCCGCTCTCTCGTGTCGAACGCGGGGGTGCGATCGGTGGGGATCGTCTGGGCGGTTCGGGAGCCTGCGTTTGCAGAGGATATCCTGTTGCGAGATCTCGGGCCGCTTGTGGGGGGCAAGAAGGTTTCGTTGAAGATCTGCATGACGCTGGGAAGTGGGTGCGCGGGATTTACAGTCCCGGAGCTTCCTGAGGGGGTCAGGCTGCAGTATGGTCGGCCGGATGTACGGCTTGAAGTTGAGGATGCCGCAGGGGATATGCCCCCTTCCGAAAGGTTAGCGGTGGTGGCTTGCGGGCCGGCGAGGATGGCGGATGATGCGAGGAGGGCTGTGGTGGAGAGCATGGGGTCCAATGGGCCGCGGGTTGAGTACTTTGAGGAAAGTTTTCGGTGGTAGTCTGTAGAGCTCTTTTGGTAAGTCATCTGGAGTTGGCATGGCATAGCGTTGGCCCGCAGGGATACTAGGGAATCTGTATAGATAGATATATCATCTGTGCGACTTGATCAAATGGAAATGGGAAAATCTAGAACGACAGCGTTGAAATCCATGCTGGCTAGCTATGCATCGTCACCGTGTCACAGATCCTAGATATAGGTGGAGTTGTTGTTGTCATTCGCTCATCAACTGGCTGTGACCGTCCAACCCTGACCACTTTGGCTTTCCGTCTGGAACATCCAAAACCCTTCGTGAATAGAAGATGTGTTGTCTACATGTATCGATTGTTAGCCAAAGAAACGACTGGAGCCTCGGAAACGTGCAGGAAGAATGTGGGATATGGGCCGCTGGTAGTTCGTACTCTGGCTGAAAGTTCGCCTTCCACTCTTCGTTCCCCTTGAACTTGATCAACCCGGGGAACGGAAGCAACATGTTCCGGCCCTCGTCCATGATGAGACTCCCGCAGTTGTCACACCTGACCTTGCACGGGAGGTCATGCGCCGGCTTCTTCGCCCCGGATGAGTAGAAAGACAGGTCTCTGACGCCATGCTCGAACGACATGTCCTCTTTGTGGACGATGGCGGCCCATTGGAAGGGGGCGCCGTGCATGACCTGGCAGTCGGTGCAATGGCAGTACTTCGACCCCAAGGGCTTGTCGCGCGAGAGCCAGTACCGTACTTTGCCGCAATGGCAGGTTCCTTCGAGTTTCTTGTCGAATGGTTTGCCCGTGTCTTTTTCCCTTTGTCGGGGGTCTGTGTACGGCGGCCGGGACTGCCACTCGGGAGTCGGGCCGGGTCCGGACATTTTGGATGAGAGTGGGCGTGACTGTGAGATACCAGGCCTGAACCCGAGCTTGAAAATAGGAAGTAGGACTCTAGTTGAGCTTCTAAACATGTTTATTGGGTCGAGGAAAAGGGGACATGAAGAACTTGAAATCATAATACTTCCAAGTCTTGGAGTTTTTGGTGGTTAAAGAACACAAAAGAGAGAGGAAGGGATGATGTCATTGATCCATCATCGCGTACATCGTCACCATCATCCCATGATCCGTCGGAGGTTCTGGACTTTGGTAACCGGAGAGAAACTTCCGGTTCCCTTCCCGGTTCCGTTTACGGTATTCTACATCTGTTCCGCTGCTAAAAGACTGCTAGCAGGTGTCACCCAGAACACTAACGTAGGTTCCATACCTTAGCCTCTACACATTTATTTACAACCTACATGTACAATTAATTAGTGGACTAGGTACCTTATGGTCTTTTTGACAAGATATTAACAATCGATGCTTATATAGTAACAGGAGGTGAAAAGAAGGTATCTATTTATCTACCAATGTTCTACATGAAAACACAATGCTTCCGCTGTCTACATGTAGGCTGTTAACCTTTATGGGTTGCTAACATAGCTCCGCGCTCTCCTCAGATCCTGATCCATATCTTCATTCCGCAAAGGACCGCCCCGAGGGGCAGAACCCGAACTCTTCCCCTTTTCCTCATCAGACGAGCCGGACATTTCCTCATCATCACCAGAATAGGCATACTTGCTCCTCGCGCGGATCCTAGCCCCATACCTCCAGAACAAGAAAGGAATCGCACAGCAAGCCAGGGCGAGGAACGAAATCAAGGTCGAAGCCCACTGGTACCCGAGGCGGTCGTACATCTGGCGGGTAAAGAGCACGACGGCAGCACCCCAGAGCGACCGGATGAAAGTCTTGGCCGCCAAAGCCGAGGCGGCCTGGTGCTGGTACGAGTCGACGAGGTAGTTGTTGGCCGCGTTGTACAGGAAGATAAACCCGAACCCGACGGGGAGGCCGCCCATCATAGGGCCCGCCCAGTGCACGTGCGGGTACGACGACCAGGCGAAGATGAACAGGCCCATGGGAATGAACCAGCAGCTCAGCATCATGGGGATCAGCCGGACCTCGGCCGGGGGGTTGCCGCCGTGCTTGGCCACGAGGGTGAGGTAGTGCCTGTTCACCAGCGGGGAGCAGGCGGCGCTGAGGACCACGCCGACGGCGAGGGGGATGAACATGAGGCCCGTCGTCCCCGCGGACCAGCCCTTGCCCTGTTGGTAGACGATGGGGTAGGCGATGAAGAACATGTAGAGGAGGCCGTACAGGACGGACATGTACAGGCTGATGAGGAGGACGATGAGCTCGCGGAAGAGCAGCTGGAAGGGGCGGATGAGGAAGATGGCGAGGCGGGACGAGAGGGGCCGGAGGTCGAGGTCGGTTTCGGTGGCGGGCGTGGGATCGCCGGTCTCCTTGCGTAGGCGGCGGGCGCGGCTGGCGAGGAGGGTCGGGGCGTAGGTCTCGGGGACGGTGAAGGTGATGAGGATCCAGACGGCGCCGGCGAGGATGAGCTGGAGCCAGTAGGTCCAGCGCCAGCCTTTGGCTTCGACGAGGTAGCCTCCTACGAGGGGACCGACTGACGAAAACGACTGGTTAGTGGAAACGGTCACAGTGAAGATGGAGGAAAGCTGTGGAAGGGGTCTGGTCACCGGTGTTTGCATACTTGCTGGGCCGAGGAAAGGAGCGGCTGAAAAAGCAGCCATAGGGACGCCACGCTCCTCGTTCTTCCACAGGTCGGCGAGGGTACCTCCTACGAGGGTCATTGGAGCGGAGAAAGCGATGCCATCAATGGCGCGGCAGACGATGAGCGTGCCAAGATTCTTGGCCAGGGCGCATGGAATGATGAATATGACGGCCAGGAGAAGGGTCGAGCCGCTGGGGGTGAGAAGTCTTGTCAATGCCCGGTGTCTGATGTGCATATGGCAACTTACACCACTAGAGGGAGTGGCCGTATTGACCGGGGGATTTCACTCACTATATAATTCTGCGGCCATAAATCTCTGACAAGGGCGCGAATGCCATGGGACCTGTTCAGTCTTGTCAGTAAGAAGGGCAAAAAAAGAGGGGAAAAAAAGAAAAAAAAAAGAAAACAAAAAAAAGGGGGGGGGGGGGACGAGGTTGACATACCAACGCCGAAGCCAACAACAAAAACAGTAACGCTTAACAACGCCGCAACATTGCTAATAGCAAACTCCTCGGCCAGCTCAGATATACCAGGCGTGATGACGCTGGAACAGAACGCAACGACGAAGCAAGTAACAGCCACGACCATGGTGCAGTACCACCGGTACCACGAACTCCAGTTCCGCGGGTTCTCGGGGTCGCGAGGCTGGAAGGTGACGAGCTTGTAGCGCGGGGCGTCGGGCTCGGTGGCGGTGCGAGATATGGGGGGGCCGGGGATAGTGCCGGAGGGGGTCTCGGTGATGTACTCGGCCAGGTTGGCGTCGGCGGTCAGGGTGCGGTAGGGGAGGGAGAGGTCGAGGTTCGGGTCGCGGTGCTCCTTGGTGTTTTCTCGGCTTCGGCTGGAGGCCGAGCTGCGGCGGCGTCTCCCTGGGTGGGGAGAATGGGAGGTTTTGTGGGTGTGGTTGGTCATGATGGGGGCGAACTGGGCGTTGGAGCCTGAGCCGGGGTCGGCCCGGTCGGGGTCGTTGTGACTACACGGGCCGGGCGTTGGTAAGGCTAGATCAGCCATGTTGGGTGAAGTGAATGACCAAATAGAATGAAAACCGAAGTAATAACTGAGTGTCAAGACTGTAATGTGATGTTCGAGACGTGAGAGTGGATGTGATATGTAATTATAGGGAGTGCCAAGTGGATCTTAGAATTCGATCCGATGGGGTTCCCCGAGAGTTCGGATTGTTGAACTCTCAGAGGTTAGAAGTGAGTGACAAAGTCTGACGATGGGTAAATAGAATCATTGGAGAGTAAGGGATAAGTGAAGGGGGGATGACGTCCCTTTATATCTTCCTGATAGACTTCTAGCAAGGGGCAAGTGCCGACAAGAGTCAAGGGCCGGTAATACTCGGCCGTGATAACAAGGTGGACCGGGTCTATTAGTGCTAGTTTTGACTATCAGATAATCAGAGAATTCTGAGTATTTTTTTATATTTTTCTTTTGATTCTCAATGATGGTACGGGAATATGGATGGATCAGCAAGGAACACACCTTTCTTTTCTCTGTATGGTATTCCATTGGTTGATCGGATCCGGAATTATGTCGAAGTGTTGCGGCTCCGTCCGGACGATGGAGAAAAGTGGAACATTGATGGGAATAACTGGACATAATATACAAGCGTCCCATGTATTCCCGCGCACGACGGAGTTGGAAATGGGTTGGAACGGCTTTGAGTGGGTGTCTTTCATCAAACTACGTCAGATGAAGCCTAATTTCAGATGTGCCTTCAAAATGTGCCGAGGAAAGGCTGGAAGAAGAGGGGGTATAATTCGGCATCTTGAATCGTAATTGAGTATCCGTTACTTCGTAGGGATTTTCGATTCAGGGCGGACATTGCGGCAGACGGGGCAGGTTTCTTTTGACGTCCATAGACTCGGGCCAATATGTTTGTCCATGTCTTGATGAACATGTAAAAGATTTTTTATTATTTTAATCCAATGCCCTAGAATGGGCTGCTGTTTGTTCTCTCTTTCCGAGTATAACAGCAATTGCTTGCTTCTTGCTTCTCACTTGATGATAAAGGCCGAGCCGGGAATGCCGGGTGGGGCCGACATGTCCCCACTGACCCGGACTGGTACGTAATGGGTACATGGGTACGTACTGTACTTTATACGAATGCCAGCGAGCGACGTAAAGTACCTTGGCCTTTTTTGTCTCGGGCAGGGCCGGGATTAGACCAAAAGGGTTTCAACTTTCTGATATCAGTGCGGACCGTAGAAGTTTCTGATTGCCTCCCTATTTCTAGCCCTGAGCCCTAATCTTCGGTGATGTAAACATGAAGATTTCGAAGCGTGTAATACGGAGTATGGCATCAGGCTCAGACAAGTCGATGAAATTTGGGGTAATTTGTACTTCGTCGCGAAAAAAGCAAATGCTGTGTTTCCTGTATCGGGCGTTGTGTTGTTTGACACCTCGCCTAACGCATGTAGGAACGCATGTTATCAGATAGAGGCTCTAGGATATCGGGGCGTGACTTCGGGACCTTTTCGGGTATAGTTCGGGTACAGTCGTAGCAAGTACTAACGACTCTAAACAGCCCTAACTCGGCTATACAAATAGTTATAGATACTTCCTATAAGGGAATCTTTCCCTTCTATAGAAGAATACGACCACGATTCCGGTACCGATATTCGTGTTCTGACACATGTCGCGAATGTCGGTAAGCCGAGGTAGTTGTAAAAGCAGAATAAGATATAGAGGTAGGCAGTAATCGGGGCAATGGTTCAGGTTTCTCTCAAGCTATCATTGGTCATCAAGGATCCACCTATGTGACACGTTGGACTGCTGAAGGGAGGGCTCAGATCAGAGTAGATATACCTACACTCTGGTGATGATGACCGCGCACCACATGTACCCATACTTCATGCAGCGTCCTTCAGCCTCGCATGAACACACCCCGGTTTAATGATGGTTTGATATCATCACACATCCTGTGGAACCTGCCTGCAGCTTCCCACTCTTTCCACCTCCATTTCTCCCATCATCACCTAGAGCACAACCTATACTCGGGCCGCCTTCTCTATTGCTCTATCTCTATTCCTCTACTACTTATTCACCATCACACACATCTTCTCATCATATCCATTTCTTCCCAGACAAACAGCGACCCCAGACGTCTCATTACGCCCCACCGTCCACCCCTATCACGCGAGGCTTCACCATCTTGGACGATCTGCTGCCTCACCTATTCTGGCTTCTGGCTTCTGTTAGGCGCGTGCTGCGGCCGCAGACGTCTCGGTTGATTCCACAATGACGTTTGTTACTGCCGCCGCCCGCCGCCTATACCTTCGTCTATGCCTTCGCGTATCCTTTCGCCCGCTGCCGTCGAAGCTACCAACACCAACGCCATGGACTCCTCGGCCGAGTCGAGCCTCCCCCTCGAGCGGTCCGTTTCTGGGCACAGTTCTGCCTCCCTTTCTGTGAGGAGGAGCAGACGGAGCGACAGTCGGAGTCGTTCTCGCTCTACCACGGTGCGGGCTCGCTCCAAGAGATTCCCTTCTCACGTGTCTAGCTCGGGCAGCTCCATAGCTGCCTCCGACAAGTCCCTGACGAGTTTCCCTTCCTTCTCTCCCGAATCTCCGAAGCCGATTCGGACTATGCTATCATCCGATAACGGCTCTGATACTGTTACCGACGACGACGACAACGACGACGACGACGACTCTTTCAGGCACAGAACCGACTCTGCTAACGACCCTACTACCCTGACCTTGAGTCAAGAGATCCTCCCTTCCACTGCTGCCGCTGCCGCTGCCGCTGCCAACAACGCCGGAAACGCCCCGAGTACCGCGCATTCGCCATCGCCGACGCCATCGCTGACACCGTCGCCATCGCCGTCCTTTTCGATTTTCGAGCAACAACTAGCAGCCCGTTCGGCCCTCTTTGAGGATGTTCCCGTGTCTACGCATAAGATACCCGGTGCCCTCCACATGGCCGACGACCAACACATTCAACGGCTCATCGCCCGTCATGGCGCCGTCGAGCTCGTCCGCCTGGTCGCCGCCGACCTGGCCCAACGCGATGCACAGATCGCCACGCTGCGGCGCAAGGCCGACGATCGCGATCGAGCCCTGCGCAAGGTCATCCTGCAGTGCGGCCTGTCCAACCTCGAGCTCGAGACGCGGCTGCGCGCCATCGAGTCCGAGGCTCGTGCCAACCGTCCCGCCAACGCCCGTGCCGAGACCGGATTGTCCGACCTCATGAACGACGCTATGCAGGATACCTACCATACCTTCGCCCACACCGGCTTGGACTCTACCATCCGCGCCAGTAAAGCGTCCTCCCTTAGCCTCGATTCGGATAACAATACCAAGAGCAGTACAGGGAACAATACTACAAAAGGAACCTTTCGAGGTTGGAAGGATTTCCTATGGGGAGGAAGCACGGCCAAGAGGGGTAGTTCCACAAGTAGCGTCAATGGCGGCGGCGGCGGCGGCGGCGGCGACCGGCGGTCAGCCACCGTGGTCCGCGCTGGGTCTCATGCCGACCGTCGTCCCGGCCTGCAAGAGGACCTCTTTGACCCACCCGATAGCCGATCCGTTGCGAGCCAGAGCGGTGCCTCAGGCGCCTCCAGTATACAGTCGGGCTTGACCGAGAACAACCGTAAATCCTCGTCGTCTTCCATGGCTGTCGGGCTTATGCGGCTTGTTGTCGGGGGTGCCATGGCCACGCGAGAAGCGGACGGAGGGCGAGGCCGGTCGGCGAGTGCGGCCCAGGCCCAGGCCCAGGCTCAGGCCACGTCCCAAACCATGCGCTCGTCTTCGTCGGCTAGCATCCGGACGACGCAATCTAGCCGCGCCGCTTCTGTCCAGGGAGGACCCAAGGCGCTCATGGCGCTGCGCCGTGGCGCTGGCACGCCTACCCCGATAGCTCCGCCGGCGGCGCGATCACAGGCGTGGGAGACCATGGCGAGCAGCCCGCCCAGCCTGTCGGGTTCGGGGCGGCAGGAGAGCTACGGACCGGTGGAAATGGATGCCATCCACCCGCCCGAGTCCCAGCCGCCCACGCTGAGCCACGTCTACAATAACAACAACGTGCACGCAAATAGCGAGTGCCTTACGGACCGATTCGGCTTCATCTACGATCAACGGCGCAAGAGGCGGCAGCGCGAGGCCGCCCATTTCGTCCGTGACAGCAAGAAGAACAGCAAGAGCCGCGCCGAAATGCTCAGCAACGGGCGATCGGGCATCTCGCCGCCCATGCTGGAGGAGGATCTGAGCCCTGCCAGCGAGACTCGCCCCGACAGTCCCGTCTCTGCCGCCGAGGAACAGCGTCCCGAAGAAGAGAGGCCCAGGCGGTGGCAGGATTATCTCAAGCTTGCCACGTTCCCGACCGAGCTACTCTCCCATACGCCCGCCCTCAGCGGACCCTCGCTCGAGGTGCTGGAAAGTAGTGATGCGATGGATAGCTATAAGGCGGCGGCCGACGGCGGCGCTGTCGAAAGGGCCCGGTCACCTGGCTTGATTACGACGGACGAACGGGGATTTGTTCCCATTGCGAGCACCACGGCGAGTACTACTACCACCTCCGTGGCCGATTTCGACGACGCCACCGTGCCGGACGAGGATGAACCCACCACCGCCGCCGCCACCCATCGAGAGGATGCCGAGCCCGTCAGGCTGCTTCTTCAGCACATGAACGAGCTGCACGACTCGCTGCAACGGGAGCGGACGATCCGATGGAACGAGTTTCTGCGCAAAGTACGAGCGGAGCGGAAGCGCGACGGCGAAGCTGCTGCGGCGGCAGCGCTGGCAGCGGCCGAGGCGCGCTACGAGCGACCGTCGGTGATCCTGCCCGAGGCCATCATGGCGGACGGCGAGCTCATCGGCATCACCGGACTCGGGGTCAAGGGCAAAGTCGGGCGGGCCAAGCGGAACGAGCTGCGCAGCCTGGTGCTGGGGGGCATCCCCGTGGCGTACCGGGCCAAGGTGTGGTCCGAGTGCTCGGGGGCGACGTCGCTCCGGGTGCCGGGGTACTACCAGGACCTGGTGGCGCAGGCGGGGCGGGGCGAGGGCGACGACGACCCGTCGGTGGTGTCACAGATCCAGATGGACATCCGGCGCACGCTGACGGACAACATCTTCTTCCGCAAGGGGCCCGGGGTGGGCAAGCTGAACGAGGTGCTGCTGGCGTACGCGCGGCGGAACGCGGAGGTCGGGTACTGCCAGGGCATGAACATGATCGCGGCCAATCTGCTGCTGGTGATGCCGACGGCCGAGGACGCGTTCTGGGTGCTGGCGAGCTTCGTGGAGAGGATCCTGCCGGCCGGGTACTACGACCACAGCCTGCGGGCGTCGCGGGCGGACCAGCAGGTGCTGCGGCGGTACGTGGCCGAGGTGCTCCCGCGGCTGTCGGCGCACCTGGAGGCGCTGGCGGTGGACCTGGAGGCGCTGACGTTCCAGTGGTTCCTGTCGGTGTTCACGGATTGCCTCGGCGCGGAGGCGCTGTTCCGGGTGTGGGACGTGGTGCTGTGCGCGGACGAGGGGAGCACGTTTTTGTTCCAGGTGGCGCTGGCGCTGCTGAAGCTCAACGAGGCGGCGTTGCTGGGGCAGTGCCATACGTCGGCGGCGGTGTACACGTACATCGGGCACCAGGTGACGAACCACGCCATTAGTATTGATAATATGATCAAGGCGTCGGATGGGCTGCGGCGCGTGGTGAGGAGGGATGATGTGGAGGCGCGGAGGGAGGAGGCTATGCGGGCGGAGGAGGAGGCGGTGAGGGAGCGGGAGGAGGCGCTGGCCGCCAGGAAGGCGGCGGCCTCGGCGGCGGGGGAGTGAAGCGGTGAGGGGGGCGTACCGTGTGTAGGTGCTCCAAGTCGGAGTGGTTTAGTTACAGCGAGATCGACTTGCGCGGCGTGGATGAAGGTCAGAAGGAAAGAGACTGAGAGACTGAGAGACTGAGGAGATTTCTTGTCCGACTTGGCCGTGGGGACTGGGAGTGTTGAGAGTGTTCAGGGGCCACTGGCCTGCCTTGTGCATCTCGACCACTATGATCACCCCCTGATCATCAGGACCATCACTCAGTGTCGTCCAGCTCGTCTGCAACACTACACTCCTAACCACCTACAACGCATGCAGCTCGCGCACGAATAGTGATCATCTTACCCCTCCAAGTCGCGTCAACGGAGGGGCTTCGAGGTCTCTGACTGGATCGATGGTCTCCAAAAAGTCTCGGCATGCATCATTTGATTCATCTCCCCAAGGTCTCCCCCGCCGTCATCTCCATCTTGATCGCTCTCCCCCGCAACGGCACATGTGATGTGCCGCTCCTCGAGTTGCGTCGTTATGAGCATATGCAGTCAGTGGTGCACTAACGCCCCCTTAAAAGGAGGGGATCTGCAGGCACCCCCGTCGCTATCCGTGGTCTCGCTGGGGCTTTGAATAGCCTAAAGGACAGCAACTTACAAGCGCTCAAACCCGGTTCGTGGAATATCTTCGAAAGCACAGGAGAATAGGTGGAGCTTCAGCTCGGCATGAACCAGTTGAGGATGCGGAGATTACGCTTCACCAGACTGATGCCAGGGCCGGCATATCTGTTGTGGGCAAGGGGAATTTTGTTTAAAGACAAGATGCTTTTCATGTGCAAACAAATGACGTGAAAGCGTCTGGTCCCCATTGACTACCTAGACTGTCTGTCTTTCATCGGAATCCTCCGCAGTATGGACTCTGAACAGTCTACAGAAGCATCAATCATCTTCTCCATGCGACATCTTCTCTGGCTGGCTACGGCCCTCGTCTCGACCGTCGTGGCCGAAGACGGCCTGGCTGGTTGGCTACGGTATGCACCTCTCCCCGAGAAGATTGCCAAGTGCCACGCGAAATCGATCCCCTCCCAAGTCAAGGTCCTCGGAGCCACCGATGGCCTCCCCCTCGCATCGGCTGTCAACGAGCTCAAGCTCGGGCTGAGGGGCATCATGGGCAAAGAAGTCGACGTCCACTCCGAGGGATGTCTCGGCGACGAAACGCCCACCATCCTCCTGTCGACGCTGGAGAACTACGTCTCGGCCTGCGGCGAGCTGGACGCCGACGAACCACCCTCCCTCGAAGAAGACGGCTTCTACTTCAACACCAAGGACGGCAACGTGGTGATCCTGGGCAGCAACGAGCGCGCCACGCTGTACGGCACGTTCGAGTACCTCTCGCGGCTCGCGCAGGCCAACTTCGAGGCGGTCGAGTACGTCGACAACCCGGAGGCCAACATCCGCTGGGGCAACCACTGGGACAACATGGACTACACGTCGTCGACGCACGGCAGCGTCGAGCGCGGGTACGCCGGCGTGTCCATCTTCTTCCAGGACAACAAGATCCGCTCCGACCTCAGCCGGGTGGCGCAGTACGCGCGGCTCCTGGCGTCGATCCGCCTCAACGCCATCGTCATCAACAACGTCAATGCCAACCCCATCACCTTGACGGACGAGAACCTCGAGGGCGTGGGTCGCATCGCCGACCTGTTCCGCCCTTACGGCGTGCAGGTGGCGCTGTCGCTGAACTTTGCCTCCCCCGTGGAGCTGGGTGACCTGGACACGTTCGACCCGCTCGACGAGGACGTGGTCCGGTGGTGGGACGACATGATCGATACGATTTACGGGGTGGTGCCCGACCTCGCCGGGTTCTTGAACAAGGCCAACTCGGAGGGCCAGCCCGGTCCGCTGACGTACAACCGCACGCTCGCCGAAGGGGCCAACATGATGGCGCGGCCGACGGCGCGGCACGGCGGCATCTTCATGTTCCGGGCGTTCGTGTACGACCACCACCTCGACCACCGGGACTGGTACAACGACCGGGCCAACGCGGCGGTGGAGTTCTTCCAGCACCACGACGGCGAGTTTGAGGAGAACGTGGTGGTGCAGATCAAGTACGGGCCCATCGACTTTCAGGTGCGCGAGCCGCCGTCGACGCTCTTTGCGCACCTGCGCGACACGCCCATGGCGATCGAGCTGCAGGTTACGCAGGAGTACCTCGGGCAGCAGAACCACCTGTTCTACCTGAACCCGCTGTGGCGCGAGATTCTCGATTTCGATCTCCGGGTGGACGGCGAGGCGTCGTACGTCCGGGACGCGGTGTCGGGGAAGCGGTTCGGGCACAAGCTGGGCGGGTACGCTGCGGTGATCAACGTCGGGATGGACCGGAACTGGCTGGGCAGCCACCTGGCCATGTCCAACTTGTACGGCTACGGCCGGATCGCTTGGGATTCGCAGAGCGATTCGGTCGAGGTCATCGAGGACTGGACGCGGTTGACGTTCGGGCTCGACCGGCGCGTCATCGACACCATTGCGGAGATGTCGATGCTCTCGTGGCCCATGTACGAGAACTACACCGGCAACCTGGGCGTGCAGACGCTGACGGACATTCTGCACACGCACTACGGCCCCAACCCGGCCTCGCAGGACAACAACGGCTGGGGCCAGTGGACGAGGGCCAACGAGCACAGCATCGGCATGGACCGCACCGTGTGGAACGGCACGGGGTTCGCAGGCCAGTACCCCGCCGAGGTGGCCGAGCAGTTCGAGCACATCGAGACCACGCCGGATAACCTGCTGCTGTGGTTCCACCACGTCCCGTACACCCACGTGCTCAAGTCGGGCAACACGGTGATTCAGCATTTCTACGACGCGCACTACGACGGCGCCGAGGCCGCGCAGACGCTGGTCCCCATGTGGGAGTCGTTGAAGGGCCGCATCGACGAGGAGCGCCACGCGCACATGCTGCGCCGTCTCGTGTACCAAACCGGCCACGCCATCGTGTGGCGCGACGCCGTGAACTACTTTTACCACAACCTGTCGGGCATCGAGGACGAGGCGGGCCGGGTGGGATCGCACCCTTGGCGCATCGAGGTCGAGGACATGGCGCTGGATGGGTACGAGAAGGTTGCCGTCACGCCCCCCTCGACGGCGTCGCGGTTTTACGCCGTCGAGGCGGCGCCCGGCTCGAGCGAGGCCACGGCTACCACGACGCTTGGCTTCCCTGCTGGGCGGTACAGGTTGGCCGTCAACTACTATGACCTCCCCGACGGCCAGGCGTCGTATGAGGTGCACATCAACGGGGAGGTGGTGGCTGCTTGGGAGGGCGACTATGACTTGTACCTGGGGAACAGTAAGTCGGAATTCTTGGACGGACACACGGCGGCTCGGAGGTGGTTGGGAGAGGTGGACATTGCCGAGGGGGATGAGCTGAAGATTGTGGGTAGGCCTGATGGGATAGAGAGGGCGCCTTTGGATTATGTTGTGTTTTTGCCGGAGGGGGTTGTTGACTAGGGTCTGCCGTCGTTGAGTCCTGGCATTTCATCAAGAAGACTGGTGAGATGTTGCAAGTCGAAAGGTGAAAAGGGGTAATATTTAAATATTTACATATTTAATTTAAATATTTACATATTTAATTTAAATATTTAAATAAATAGTCAAACCTGTCTTCTGCGTCCACCACCTCAGGGAAAGACACAAAGAACAAGTGGCTTGACAGTGGCTGCTTACTGCTCATTTAAAGCATTTATTTAATGTGTCTGTCATCACACTGCCACGGTGGCGTCTCTGGCTAAATCCATTATCCCACGGTATCTTGGCCCTATAGGCTATAGTAGGACCACTATACGTGTAACCTGCCATGGAAACAGCCGACTTTCCATCCCGAGCTGCGCTGCCATGGGCCCATGTTACCTTGAGCGGGGGAGGGACGTCGGGACTATATATTCCATGGAAGAAGTTTGGTTCAGGGAGGAGAGGTTGCAGTCTGCATGTGCAGAGCCAAACCACGATTGCGAAGACCGACTCTGCAGGGAGGGGACTCGGGGATGGACTGGGGAAGATGGAGAAGAATGGAAGACTGGAGACGAGGTCTAACTTCTTCCACTCGTCGGGGAGAGCCCGGAGCACTGGGCATAATTTCCTAATCGGGACCCTCCTCCATCCGCATTCCGCTGTCACCACCGCCGTTCCCCCTATCTGGACATGATCGGAGCTTTTCCTGGTCAAGAGGCCATGCCAGCATAGTATTGGGTAGCATCTGGGGCACATGGGCCCTTGTGGCCGGTTGTGTAAAAGATTGCCGAAAGTATTTGCCGATGATGGGTTGGAAGTAAGAGGGAACGTAAATCTCCGTCACTGGTTTCCTTTTTTCTTCCATGTTGTTTCCTTCTGGCTTTTCCCTCTTTTCCATTTGGCTTCTAGTTGTTGACGTTGACTATATAAGGGAATAAGGGAACGGGCAAAGCACGGGGGAATATTTTTTGCTTCTGCTTCTGCGTTTGCCTTTGCTTCTGCTTGACAGTTAACCGTTCACTGAGCCGACATCAAAGTCCTTGACTTTACTCCCCAGAGGTCAACTGCTTCCATCCATCATGAAGGCCACGACGGTTCTCGGAGTCGCCTCGCTGCTCCTTCAGCCGGCTTATGCCTCTCTTCGACAAATATCGAACTGGGGCTTCACCCCGGGCGGTCTCACCCTTCATGCCTACATTCCGAACAACCTCCCTCCTAACCCGGCCGTGATTCTGGCTGTACGTTTTCTTCTTCGAGCATTATTTCTTCTTCCCCCACTAACATCAACAGCTTCACCCCTGTGGTGGCTCCGGTCAAGGCTACCACCAGAGCAGCGGCTACAGCCCCCTCGCTGACACCCACGGCTTCATCGTCCTCTACCCCAGCTCCACCAAGGACATGAACTGCTGGGACGTCGCCACCACCCGCACCCTCTCCCGCGACGGCGGCGGCGACAGCCAGGCCCTGGCCGACATGGTCGACTGGGCCATCGCCAACCACGGCGCCGACCAGGACCGCGTCTTCGTCTCCGGCACCAGCTCCGGCTGCATGATGACCAACGTCATGATGGCCACCTACCCGGACTACTTCGCCGCCGCCACCTGTTACTCGGGCGTCTCGGCCGGCTGCCTCGCCGGCTCCCCCGGCTCGAGCCCCATCAGCGCCGACCCGACCTGCGCCAACGGCCAGAACATCAAGACGCCGCAGGAGTGGGCCGACCTCGCCCGCAGCATGTACCCGTGCTACACGGGCCCGTACCCGCCGCTCAAGACCTACCACGGCCTCGACGACACGTTTGTGCACTGGCGCAACTTGGACGAGCAGCTGAAGCAGTGGTCTGCGATCCATGGCGTGTCGTTCTCGCACGAGGTTGCGAACAACCCGCGCCAGGGATACACCCAGCGCGTTTATGGGGATGGGACCAAGCTTGTTGGTGTTACTGCGCAGGGTGTTGGTCACGTCGTCCCTGTTGTTCCCGACGAGGATCTCCGGTGGTTCGGCATCATCTGAGCGGTTTGATATTCTCGGGGGGGTATCGACCTGGAGGCAACAGGGTCCAGTCGGTCCAGTCGTTAACGTCAAGGCTTTACCTTCAAGGTCTGCTGTTGGAACGTGGGAGGGTGGTAAAGCGTAAAATCATCCAGAAATCCAAGCAATCCCGCTCTCTTCAAAGATCAAATGACATGGATGGTGTGAAAAAAGCAACTTCCTTGGTGAACAGGCTGCGGGATCCGTAAACAGGGGGGGGGGGGCTGGGGCCGCTGGACAGGGCTGGGCAGGGCTGGACAGGGGGCGGCAGCACTAAACGATGAGCACCCACCCCTTGGACGCCATGCCAAGACCTCATTTCCCGTTTCCCCAGGTGAATTGAACCAAAAGCATCGTAGATCTGTGCTTCATGCCATCTCATCTCCATCTCATCCTCGTTCTTGGTCACGACATCGCATCGCGAGCCCTTGTCCGGCTGCGTGCTCCTCCCTTTCTTCTCGGCAACCAGACCCCTTTCGACACCAGGACCGCACCGACTATTCAACGACGTGCGTCCGCCGAATAGAACATACGCGTACACTCTCCAATGTCGACCAGCAAGCCATACACCAGGCGGGTGCCCCCAGCCACACCAAAACGCCTCATCGTCTGTTGTGATGGCACTTGGATGGACTCGCTGGGCGAGAAGAGGTAAGTCCACATGCAGTCCACCAAGGTCCCAGCCTTTACCTTTTGATGGTCCTTTCACCCCTAAGGTTACATGTATAACTTGAACTTATTCCTGACGCCACATGACCATTCTCCGTCTGCCTCCAGTGGTGATCCGCAGTCCAATGTGACGCGCATCTCACGCATCCTCCGCCGTACGTGTCGCGACGGCACACCCCAGATCATCGTCTACAACGCCGGCGTCGGCAGCGGCAACGTCCTTGATCGTTTTACCGGCGGCATGTTTGGCCGCGGCTTGGAAAGCGTTTGTCCTCGACTCCCCTCATCTCATCTCCCCAGTGCGGCACTGCGGCAGTGCCCTCGAGTCTCGGCCTAGCTCACAACCTCGGCACAGGTCATCCGCGAGGCGTACAACTTCGTCTGCGCCAACTACGTCCCCGGCGACGACATCATCCTGATCGGCTTCTCTCGGGGCGCCTTCACCGCCCGCTCCGTGGCCGACATGATCGCCTCCATCGGCTTGTTGACCCCCCGGGGCCTCGAACACTTCCACGCCATCTTCGAGGACATCGAGCACATGGGTTCCGCCCGCCGCCCGCTCGACGACTTTCTGTACGACCACCTGCCCCCTTATGCCGGCGAGCAAGGGGAGGCCAAGATTCGCTGGACCAGGTACCGTAAGAGCATTTACCGCGACTGGTTGAAATCCGTACGTTTTCCGGTCTCGTGTCTCTTGTCCTTGTCTCGTCCTTGTCTCTTGTCCCGTCTAACACAACCACCTGCACCCCATGGCAGCTCGGGTACACCAGAGACACTCACCCCGACGGCGTCACCCCCATCACCATCAAGGCCCTGGCCGTTTGGGATACAGTTGGCACCTTGGGCGTGCCCCCTGCTCCCATCATCGGTTTGTCCGGTTCTAACGACCAATACGTCTCCCTCTCCTCCTCCCCTCCCCTCCTCCCCTCCCCTCCTCCCCTGTTCCGCCCGTGGCTCTTCCGAAAGCTGACCCTCCTTTACGTGGAAATTCACCAACACGGAAGTCTCCGACAAGGTCGAAAACGCATTCCAAGCCCTGGCCCTCGACGAACCGCGCTACGCCTTCCGGCCGGCCCTCTGGGAGCGCCTCGACGGCAACAACCGCACCCGCCTCAAGCAGGTCTGGTTCCCCGGAAACCACGCCGGCGTAGGCGGCGGCTGGCACGACCAGCAGATCGCCACCATCTCGCTCGCCTGGATGTGCGACCAGCTCTCGACCGTCGGCGTCGAGTTCAGTCTCCGCCTCACCACCGCCCTCTTCATGGAAGACCTGGCCTACTCCGCCGTGCATCCCTTCCCCGCCGTGCCATCTGCGACGCTGACCTTCCCCCCTCCACATACATCCGCCTCGTCGTCCCTGTCGTCCGTCGTCAGGTCCGTCCCCTCCCTCGCCACATCGTGGCTCCGATCCAAGGCCGCCTCCTCCCCTTCTTCCTCGTATCCGCTTCCCTGGGGCTGTCCGACCGTGTGCCGCATCCCCGACCCAGCATGGGAGCCCACGCGGGACGAGACGGACCACGACGACGCGACCTGCGCGCCGCACCCGGTACACGCCCGGCCGGAAGAACTCTGGCGCACGGCGCGCGCGTGGGGGCTGGGCCAGATGCGCGCGCCGACGAGCAGGCTGCAGATGATGGCGGGGACGACGGTGCGCACGCCGGGGCTGTGCATGCGGGCCGACTACGAGACGAACCGCGACACGGACGACCCGCTGCGGAACACGGGCGAGAGGATCCATAGCAGCGTCCGCGTGCGGCTGGCGTGCGAGGGGCTCGGGCTCGATGATCGCGCGAGGTGGAGCTGCGAGGCGTTGACTAGGGAGGCGGCGGGGAGGGGGAGTGGGCCTGTGTGGCGGCTGGAGAGGCGGAGGGGGTTGGATCCTAGGGAGGAGGAGGCGGCGGTGGAGGGGTTTGTTCCGAGAGAGCTTGCTTTGGGGTATCCGGAGGAGTGTCTCTACCCTGTTGACCGGCGGGATGTGCGGTGGAGGTGGGTGTATGAGGGAGACATTTCATATGTCGGGGACGAGGGGGACGAGAGGTATGCGCATTTGACGGTGCCGCAGAGCATGATATTGCCGGAGGAGCCGCTCGTGGGGTACTGGGAGCGGTATTTCCTGTCTTTGACGGCCGGTTATGCCGATGTGTGGCGGTATGCGCAGAGATACCCGCCGATGGGGGCCAAGGGTAGAGGAGAGCCGAGAGGGGAGCCGAGAGGGGGGCCGAGAGAAGAGTGACGAGTACTGGATGGTGCAAACTGTATCCTATGGCGTAGCGTCTGATGAATCGGATTACACATGCAACGTTTTAACGGCCACGGGGCTCTAGGCTGGGGCTTACTTTACGAACATGAAGTATATGACGGTTGGTGGTCCGATTAACACAGCCTCAACTCCCAGCCTTAGCCCTCAGGACCTGGTCTACAAGCCAGCAAGCCTCAAGCTCTCACGCACCCATCATCACGATCCACCTAACCAGTTCGTCTTGATTCTGACTTCCTTCACGAGATATTTTCTGTTCATGTTACCTCTGCATTCATGTTTGGAGACATCCACTGGCATGTCCCCTCCCTGGCAGTCAGCCCATATAGCCTTATAGGGGTCAGGTCGAATAAGACAACTCGGCTACTAAAGGGCTATTACATATGCCATGTCTTACCAGTGGAATGTTAGCCCATCCAAGGCACGTAGGTGGGATAAATCATAGGATAGAACTAGTCGAGAGTCCGGCATAACCTTGAACATTCCTCGGCACTGAGAGGCCGCTTGCTCCATGTCGCGCTCGCGCCGCGACAGTACTAGGCCCCTGAATTCTTCATTATTTATGTACGATAGAGACAAGGCAGGCAGGCACCTGCTTGCCAAGATTAAGATACAGGTTCATCCAATATACTGTGCACAGTCAACTGGCAAGTGGTTACACGTTCTTTCCCTTTACACAACATAGCTCCTGTGCGACTTGCTTGTTTACGCGGAAAGAAGAAAACACATGATCAGTTGCTCTTGCGTTATCTGTTACCAAGGCAGTTGCTGCTGTTGTTGCCCTATAAATATTGTAAACAATCCTCACCTCCCTTCAGTTATTCCACGCTCAACTCTCCCTTTCACATCGCAAGCGAGACTCCAACCAAAACATCAACTTGTGAGTTTCCAATTCTTCTTTCTTTGCCTGCACGTTGCTTCCTTCATTACCTTCAAGTTCATGTTTCTTTTCCTTCAATGTTCTCAATGTTCTCAATGCTCTCAAACAAGTGAAGCTAATCCCGCGCGCAGGCATTCACGACACACAGTTCTAAACCTCTCAAGTCTACCCGGAAGCAACCCAAGCAAAACAATGGAGCTGTCCAAGATGTTCCTTTGGGCTTCGCTGGCCCTCACCACCACGGCCCTCCCTCGAGCTGAAGGAGTCAATGGTGACGGCATCGCCGAAAAGAAGGACAACAGTGCTGTCCGTTTCACCATCTCGGAGGACGGTATCCCCATCATTGTCAACCCCGTCTTCGCCATGGCCACTCTCTCTACCCAGCCCGCTTCGGCCCTGCATCTCAACACGACCGACCCTGCCACTCTCGAGTCGATCCTGCCGGCCCCCAAATCCACTACCCGGGCTCATGGCAACGAGAACAACGACGGCGCTTTCGGCCCCCGGAACGGTCTTTTCCATAATCCCTGCGACACTGCTCGCTGTGGCGATGGAACCACCTGCATTGTCGCACAGGGACGCCCCAAGTGTGTCTCTGGTGCTACCTGCGGGCCCGCGGTCTGCGGTCGCGGCACGGTCTGCTGCAACCACAGCTGCGGCATCTGCACGCCCCCGGATGGCTTTTGTATCCAGATGCTCTGCGGGAGCTAACCCGGCAACTCCGACCGACATGCCTCCCTACGAGGCTACGGTACTACCTAGAGAGTCTGGCATGGAAAGGGTGGCATGGAAAGGGACATGGATTCTGGGGTAGATAGGATTCATAGCAAAGCCATGGCATTCACCCATACACTGCGATACCACTTTTAAATGGTAACCAGCTCACGTGACTGCTTGTTAGCAAACTTGACCCTTATGTTGAAAGTGCAGTAACATTGATACCAGGGCGAAGTTCAACTGCAGTCTGGTTTCCAAAATCAGGACACAAGTCTATATACTTCGAGTCTTCTTACGGTTCAACCTTTGTCAACTCATCTCAGTCATGTCATCGCAAGTCTCCGGGTGTCCCGACTTGGAACCGAAGACGTGCATTGATCGAGTCCGAGCCCTTGCCGATCCACGACTCCACCACGACCTTATGCCTGGCCTGGAATAGGTGACATATGTCGAAGATGTTGCGTAGCACCTTATCCGGGAGCGCTAAGAGGGCCGATGCGGCGATGTCTGGGCCATTGGTGGAGGGGAGGGGGGTTTCGAGAAGCTGTTGTTGTAGGGAGGGAGAAAGGCGTGGACCGCGTGGTTAATTATTGGCGACGGAGCTTTTACGGATAACTAAAGTATTGATGACAAACCCGCTGCGTTCGGTAGTCGGGTAGCTTACCAGCTGCGGAATTTTGAATAAACCCCACTGGTTAGAATATATACAGTGCACTTGATCAAGCAATCCCCCCAAAAGTCGGACAGTCGCGGACAGGGCATGATGTTGCGAAGGCGGTGGTAATGGTGGCAATATGAAGAACAGCAGTTGAAAGCTGAAAATAGTTTGGATCTTGTTCTTTATAAGGCTTAGCAAAGAATACATATAACAAAGAAAGAAATACATTGTCGACGTTAATACGGGACAAGCCCTTGTATCGTGGTCGCTTCGATAACAAGTATCGAGTACTTAGATTGAAGTACTCCCAGGCAATCCAAGGCAGCAACCACGCTATACCAAGTTCGTTTCGGAACCCTGTTTCCATCCTGGGCTTTCGACTAGTGTCCCCATAATTTATAGCCTCACAAAAGGACGAAAGCAGTCTACACTATATGATCACAACGTGGGGAGCGCTTCGGTCCGTTCCCGACTACACTTTGGGATGCTAATATAAGGTATGTAGAATGTATCCTACTTATGCTTAGGTAGGTCGTCAAAAACTACAGTATATATGGGAATACTGTCTGTGCCGTGGCACTAGAGTCATGCATTTGATGCCAGCTGGCTCTCATTAAGTAGCCATATTATATATAATATAATCATTTATAAATAGGTAAGCCACTTGACAGCACCAAGTATTGCCGTTCCCTTTGGCAATATTGATCGACGCTGTTCTTATACCTGTGTCTTGGAAAGTGCTTGCTAGTCAGTTGTCATCCTGGGCCAAATAGTTGACTAGGGCATGACCAAGTTTGAACTGGGCAACTAAGAAACATCAAATAGAAAAAGAAAGGAAAATGTTCCAGGCGAGGCCAGTAAAACTCAAATAAAGACGCCCAAAACGAAAGCCGGCAACGTGGCTGGGCTGTAATGGTGCTTTTTCGACGCATTGTGTAAGTCGTGTAACCTCGAATAGGCAGGCTGTAGAGAGTCTAGAGACATACAGGCAGAGGTTAACTACGAGTCCACCGTCCACGGACCACCACCCAAGCCTCACTGTTCCTTTAAATCCCCTTCATCTTCCCCCAGCCGGTCTTCGGTTTTCCTTCTCCTCTAGTTTCCCCCCTTTTCCTACCCACCACGAGCACAGAAGTAGGATTGACCAACTAATACTCCGACTCGTCACCGAGTCTTCATCCTAATCGCCACCATGCCAAACAACAAAAAGAAGAACTTTTACGCCGTGTCGAAGGGCCTCTTTGCACCGGCAATATGCTCCTCGTGGTAAGTCTACCCAGAAGAGACCGCCTTTGGGTCACCTGTGCCGGAATCAAAAAGTCTTATCGAGTCCCAAACTGACAGGGGGTCGCACCAGGGCACACGCTCAGCGCTTGGTAACTGGGTATTCTGAAGCCCAGTTCAAGGGCTTCGCCGCATACGACGACGCAAGGTATTACCTCAAAGACCACGGCCACGAGGATTTTCTTTTCATCAGCGCCGTTCCCTCGGAGACCAAGGATATACGAAGCGACGTCCTACATGCACATTTCCTTTCATCGGGGCCTTCAAGGCGTGGACCAAAGTTCTACGCTGTTGCTAACGGCCAGAACCCCGGCGTCTACTCTGCATATGGGTACGCTTCAACAGTCTTTTATACTACATTTGTTCTTCTCTTCTCTGCATCTCTGTTGCCACGCGTGCAGGCCTGTGCTAACCTTATGGGCCGTATTTAGGGGTGACGCTCGGGAGCAGGTGGACAAGTTCTCCGGGGCGTGTTATAAAGCCTTCTCAACCCAAGAAAATGCTCAACAATTCATTGACCTTTATAATGATTTGCACAACTCGGTAGTAGAGGTACGGATACCGATACGACCTGAGAAGACGACGATGTGAATGCGGTGGATAAATTATCCAGTCTCTTTGGCCAGGCTACCGTAGTCTAGCATCACCACGGGAAGATGGATGCTCTGTTGTAGGCAAGCAAACTGACCTTGTGCACATGAAGCCTTGAGTCCTGACGCTTCCAAGTAGACTGTTGCGGATTATATATGACAATCTCATGCTTAGACATCTCTTATTACCATTTGATGTTATTACTACGGCGTCGTCTAGAAAAGATCTCAGCAAGGAACGTAATAGGTATATGATCGTATATCCCATGATTCTCATAACCCTCACCTCACCTGCTCATCTCTCGCCCTCGATACCAATACTAAAATAAGATGCATTTTTGAAACCACCCATGTCAGTGTAACAGCCTCAGAAAGAAGAACACATGCTGACCAAAGACCAGGCCAACAGAACTAGCTGAGAACAGTTTCCGTTTACTGGAGGAGCATAGCGCCAGCAATGGCAGCAACGCCAACATAGATCGTCACGCCCAGGGAGCCAAAGCCAAAGCCAACGGGCGCGAAACCCGGGGCAGCGCCTCTGTGGCCATCCCCATCACGATCCCTATCACGATCCCCATCACGACCATCGTCGCGATCTCCATCACGGCCACCATCGCGATCCCCATCACGACCACCGTCGCCCGTGGGCGTATTCTGGGCCGCGGTAATCGTAGTAGTCAGCTGGTCAGCGCCTGTAGGGCGGGTAGCCTGCACGACAACGCCGGAGACGGTGGCCACATCGGCCTCGTTGTAGGTGGTGCTGGAGAAGCCGCAGCTTTGCATAATGTCGTTGATGTCTGCGGGTGGTTATGTTAGTAGTACGCACATGCACGCGCGCCGTTGCAGAGGGCAGGGCACATGCAGACATACCGTCTCGGTTATTCTGGGCATCGCGGAACTCGTGCAAGCAGCTGGCGCACTGGGCCGTGATGCGGTTGACGTTGAAGCTCTCGTTGGCGCAGTAGCACTGCGCCTCGATGAGGTCCTCGGTGAGGTCGTCCAGGGGGCCGTCGTCAATGTCGCAGATGTCGCCCAGCTCGCGGACGGGGTCGCACACGTTTTGGCACTGCGTGGGGATGTCGTCGCTGTTGAGGATGAAGTCGGCGCTCACGAGGGCCACGGTGGCCAGCGAGGCCGTGGCGAGAGCAAGCCTGCTGAAGTACATCGTGGGCTGGGCGTTTTGGTGACGACGAGGAGCCCGACTAGTCGAGTAGGAAGCAAATGTAAGAGAGAGCAAGTGTAAAG